CCACCATACGTGCACTACTCAGTACTTCCTAAGAGCAACGAAAAGGCGCCTGGGCACAGACTTGTGAATCAGCCGGTTTTGGGAGTATCTGGTGCTCGGATGATGCACGACTTCGGGGCATCTCGAAGTCACACTATCATCATGGATCTTCCTCTGAGCCTGGACCCTCTCAACACAATGAAAGGCAAAGAGGTTGTAGCATACGATCCGACGAAGCCTTCACGGTTTGGTGTGTTCCCGCGACATCAACCATCTAGTGTGCGGTGGTTTCATACAGCATCATGCTGTATCTTCCATACTGCGAATACTTGGGATTCTCAGTCCAGCGAAGGGGAAGTATCCGTTAATCTGCTTGCGTGTCGAATGACTTCTTCTACGCTAGTGTATACAGCGGGGAACATTCGGCCACCAGTGAGGTCTAGGTGTACCCAATCACGGGTCTGGTCAGACGAGAAGGAAGAAACAGCTTGCAGATATAAGGAGGCCCCTAGCCTTGAATCACCAGGTGAAGCAACGGGTTTGGCCGACTACTTTCCCATCACCGCAGAGTCCGACGACTACGACCAATGCCGGTTGTACTACTACGAATTCGAATTGGCGATGGGATCCCGAAACCACGTCAAGAGCCAGTGGGCTCTCTCAGCGATACCTTTCGAATTCCCGGCAGTGCGCCCAGACCGAGAGATGCAAGAAGCTCGGTACATCTATGGCTGCAGCACATCAACTTCCTGTTTCGGAGTTGCTCTCGGACGGGCTGATAAGGTAGATCTTCTCGTCAAGGTGGATGCCAAGACCCTCATCCAACGTGGGAAGAAGATGAACACTACATCCATCACTGGGTGCGTCGATAGACGTTCAGTCAGCGAGATCATTCAAGACAAAGAGGAGGACGATCCTATAAACATATTCCGTCTTCCACCAAACCACTACGCCCAAGAACCGCGGTTCGTTCCTCGAGCTTGTTCAACTGAGGAAGACGATGGATATCTGCTCTTTTACGTCTTCGACGAGTCTCAACTCCTGCCGTCTGGCGATTGCCCTCCTTCTGCTAGATCTGAGCTTTGGATTCTCGATGCTAGGAACATGCGTGATATAGTGGCCAAGGTCAAGCTTCCGCAACGAGTGCCATATGGTCTGCATGGAACCTGGTTCTCTAGTCAAGATATCGAAGGTCAACGGGCTGTCGAGTCTTTGAGAAGTTTGGAAGGAGTGCAGAGGAAGAAGGAAGAATGGGTTAATGGTGGAGGACAGATAAGGAAGTCGTGGATGGTATTACGAGAGAAGTTGGAGAGAGCTGTTGGATGATGGATTTCTGGGTTTTGAGAACGATTCACTTTCACGATACCCTGTCGCGAGCTTCTCAACACTGTTTTGTAACTTGCAACGTTTTTCAGTATGTTTATACGACTTTTATCCTTGTAATACATAATAAGCATATCCAACTACTCAGAAAGCTTGTAAGGCTCCCCCGAGGTTCTAACTGCATGCAAGTCCAATCACCCTTCCATTACGCATAAACTCGTATTACCATGATTACCTAAACTCCAGCAGTGTCCCATAAATTGTCCCAACTCTTTCACCAAATATCATGTTCCATCATTGTGTGCGATAGAAACTCAGTATCGCTGTTCGCAATCGAATTCGCCATATCGATCATCTGTGCGGTCGTGAACCACGCATCCATCCCCAGATCATCCATACCTGGCAACATTGAAGCCATGGTCTCATTATCATCGTTCAAATCATTCAGACTACCTTCGCCCTCGCCAATCGTCCCTCCAATGATCTGTCCATCAATTGGAACCGGTGTTGTGTCGGATTGTTCACGCGGTAACCGTCCCAACATATCGTCAAGCTGCTGCAACTCCGACCTTCGAAACATGGCGATGAGATTACCCTTACTTGTCATCTCGTTGAAGATAATATGGGTTTTATGGCGGAATGTAGCATCGTATTCTGAGAATCGGGGATCAAGAACGGGTGCGATGAGGAGGTTGAAGCTTGACACGAGGAGCGACTCGAGATCGAAAGGGAGAAACGCTTCTGGAAATTCGTTAGTATTTGTGTTTGACGAGATCAATCTCTTGATTTACCAAGCAGACCTTGACTTTGCAAACAGCCAAGAATGTTGATCATCTGGTAGGAAGAGTCGATACACATCTTGATCAGGTTCCAGACAGTTTGGGATGAGTTGAGGGCTTCTGTTATGGAGTCAGGGGTTTCGAAGCGGATTTTGAGGAAGCATAGTAGTAGAGGTCTTGTTGCGAGGACGATGCACTGCAGATGTCAGCACAGGTCGTTTGCATCCAGAAAAAATGATGTTACCTGATGATATAGAGTGTGGAGGTACCCTGCTACCCTTGAAACGCCGTTTACCGCTTTATCTGCACCTAATGGAAACTGCTGTTGTAGTTCATCTGCAAGACCGGCGATGTTCTCGAGCACCTTCTTAGTGCTGAGTAGGAACTTCTTGTTCAGCCGGCCATTCGCTCCATACACTCCTAGCATCCAATTAGCCTTGTTCATTGAACTGAGGGTAACTTCGTACCTCTCCCGACCGATGCAATGGTTCTGCAAAGTCTAATCTGCATGTGAAGCGCCGCCACTCGTTGTGTTGACCCATCAAAGTGCGGGAGCTGGTGATGAATGTCATCGTCATGAACGGATTGCGGTAGACCCATCAGAGATGTCATCTCGCGGTCTAATACATAAACAGTCCACCATATCCTTCGGCTTCGTTCAACAATGCGATCTCCTAGTTGATCTACTGGCATGTCGGTGTGCATTCCTTGCCCGAGCGCAACTCTCATCGCTTGTCCAATCTGTCGAAGGTTAGCCAAAGCCAGCGAAGCACAATGGAGAGCGTACAAATCCATGTGAAGAGTGTCTATAGTCAAGAGACTCAAAGTATAAAGCTATACAACATAAGATCTCCGTCGATATCAGTGGTTGGTAAACAAGGATATGAATGCTTGGTAGAAGTCGGAGGGCCGTGACAAAATAATCAGCGCCAGGAGGTCTCTTTGCTTGGTAGTTGTTGTTTTCGGCAAAAGCTTTGCCAAAAGCGAGGATGAGAAGGAGGTGGATGTATGGCAGGTCCGCAGCTGCGATATGACTACTCGGATCCGCGTAGAATTCGTGGAGATAAGCCATGAACGTCTCTTCATCAAACAGATGAAATAGCTGACCGCAGTGAAATTTGACTGTGTTGATTAAGAAGACTGCATGGTCAAGACTGGGCATAACCGGCGGATCCAGCGCTGGAGTGATTCGAGAGCCGTCCCATCCAAGGTCGTACGCTAAGCCATCGAATAGTAGGTTGTCGACTGAGATAGGGCTTTGGTGGATGTATTCGTGAGTGAGACTGAGGACGCGTCGGGTGAAGGACCAGTTTGATGACGTTCCGAGATAGACTGATATATCAGCTGAAGCTCTGTTGAAAGTGATGAGTACTTACATTCTCGACCTTGCGCCGATACCATAAACTTGGATTGCCCAGATGACAAGGGATTGACCAGGGCAGACGCGATGGGGTCCAATCCCTTCCCGCTGCTATTGGTACTGCTATGACTTCCGAGCAGCGAGTCCTCAGTGGGAAGCGAAGCAGAGACATTGCCACCAGGCGATGGTAGATGCGGTGGTGGTTCAACTGTCGCCATTAGCAATGACTCTCCATCGGATCATCAAACAAACCTGAATCAGAAGGTCCTCCAGCATTTATGTTCGTATCCAAAGACCCGGGCGTGATATACTCGGCCGTCCCAGTACTCGATTGACTCGTCGCAGCGCGTTGCTGTAAATCTAGAATGAACCTTGAAAAGCCATCAACGTCATGTCGCAAAGAGTCAATCGCGCTGAGCTTACCCACGCGTGACGAGAACCTTTTGATCGCGTTGATCAAACTCGCATGATAATTTGCGCTTCTTGCACGCGTCGCAAGGATGCGAACCTGAGCATTTTATTTTCTGCTTGCGGCAGCGCGAGCATCTATCCCCTGTCAGTAATCTGTCCTCCCAAATGTTGATGGTGCTCGGTGAGTGAGGTGAGGTTGACGTTGCAAGGTGAGGGGAAACTCAGTGCGGATGCAGGGCTCAGCGCCGTACTCACGCATTATCAGATCTCTTGGAAACGCGACCCGATCCTGCAGTCGTACCAGATGTTTTCCGTGCATGCGTCGATCCAGGCGCCATTGCAGCGAATCGTATGATGAGAGAACAAAGACACTGATGAGATGGAAAGAAATTGTTTCGGTGGTTGGCGGGGAAGAGAAGGTTTCGTTAGCTTGACCTCGAAGCGCTGCAGCGGTTTTTTGCCCCTGCTACAGTGTTGGGGTTAGAGCAGCCGCCACTGGGTCACGAGTATTATGCTCTAAAGGGTAAAAAAAGACGAATTGCTGGGGGAATAATCGGGAATGAAGATATTTCAGAAGGAGAAAGGAAGAAGACGGTGGTATGCGGGGTACAAATCGCTATCTTTTTACTCTAATAAGTGAGTGGTTGAGTTTTGGGGGCTTCCACCAAGTGGAGGTGCACTGATGATAACGACTTTGCAGTGGGACAGATGCTGGGTGTTCGCCGTTTTTTGATAGCGGATTAGGCTTTGACCCTGGTCGCTTTAGTCAGGCTAGAACATGGGGAAACGATAATCGAAGCACCGTGCACTTGACCACGGCCTTCCCGGATGGGTTGGGTTGGGCATGTCACACAATCGACGCAACAGGTCCACTGATGGTGCATGGGGGATGGACGTTGGATATGCATTCGTCCCAATACGTTGACGTTTGACTCATGGAAACGTGATGGAAGTATTCGCCATTGTTCTCCCGCCGTTCTGCAGGTTGACCATCACATCAATCCTTGCATCTAACAGTACAGGGGACATTCTTGGTTCAGGAACCGGGGTTTCTCCCAAAGCCGTCACGTCACCTGCATATCTCACAAGTCTTTTCTCATGTCATTAACAGCTCTATTATTCTCAATGCTTACACTTTTCCCCTCTATCTAGTTAAGACGTCCCTTGACCCGATCCGTCCAAGTCTTGAGCAACTCTTCCTCCTTGTCACCCGCCTCCTTCATGATACTCTTAACACTAGTCTTCACCGCCTCACCAACGGGCTCGTAAGGATGTCTTGGGGCCAACTTCTCCTCGGCCCCTTCGACACCCGCCAGTCTTGCCGAAAACACAGCAACAGCGTACTTTGTGGAAGCAACGCCCGCTTTGCAAGGTCGCTCAGCAAGAGCAGCAAGTTGTTGCAGCTTCAGCGCTTCGTCGAACTTTCCCTCTTTGTACAAAGCGTAGATCTTCGATGTCAGAGTTGGGAAGACGTTGGCGAACGCTGCCACGCATCCTACACTGCCGGCTGCTAGACCACCAATGAGGAAGTCGGATTGACCACCGTATGTAGAGAATTCTGAAGAAGGGATTTGAGCTGCGAGACGAGTGATCTTTCCAACGGAGCCACAGGTCAATTTCACGCCGACAACGTTGGACTTTCCGCTAGGATGAGACTTCTTGCTCTCCTCGTAAATCTGGACAATCGTCTCAGAATCGATATCGACACCGTTCGTCACACCAGGAAAGTTATAAATAACAACAGGCAAAGGCGACTTCTTCGCAACCTCCGAAAAGAAGCGCTTAACAACATTCATGCTCGTCGCCTTGCCAAAGTACGCAGGAGGCAGCACGAGGAGATAGTTCGCGCCAGCCTTGTGAGCATCTTCAGCAAGCTCCAGAGTCTGCTTAGTTGAGTGAGCTCCGACACCGGCCATGAGGGGAAAGTCGGGGCCGATTGTCTTGCGGGCGAGGGCGATGAGCTCATAGCGCTCTTCGCGGGTGAGGAGGAAGGCTTCGGCGTTGGAGCCCATCACGATAAGGCCGTTTAGGCCGGAGTCGGCGAGGTGGGCAAAGTATTTTGCTTGAGAGGCATGGTCTACTGTGTCGTCTGAGTGGTTGAAGAATGTGACTGCTGGACACCATACTCCGGGGCTGGGAATGTCAGTATGCGATGGTGATGATGGGGCTTCCAGATGGAGGCTTACCTGGGAACATGGGGCTGTTGGGAGGGTGCAGGGTTGAGGGAGCCCATGATGCTGGTATTGGGTATGTAATTGATGAATTAATTTAGGAATAAAACGTAACTTGTTGTTGGTGATGTCTCAATTGATGATAATATTTGACTCAATCGTTGTTCTTTAAAAGCATGATGATAATCACCTCCTCATCTGAAGTGGGGTTGTATCGCGAATCTGTTCCGAAGTGTCGAAGGCCGCTCCGAATATGGAGGGCTTCAGTGGTTGCAACTCTGCGTCTCGGCCCCGGGAACCCGTCCGCTGTGATCGGTAGGGCTGCCGATGATTACTATGGACCTGAAAGCCAGCTCTGGCCACTCATATCCTACGAACGCTCGGGCGTGTCGGCCGAGTCACTTCGGGGCTGCCTCCATTCTCAAGTAAATATGCTGAGAAGGCAAAAAATCTGATGACTCGATATTCTCTCTATGTTCTAGAAGCCTTCGAGAACTGATCAAATTTGTATTGTTCGTTCTTGTTCTTTGGGCACGGTTGACGTTCGGTTTTTCGACACCGATAAAAGATCTGGGCTGATCTGCTTACCCTGGAATTGCGTCCGGCATAAATGCACGAATATGAACAAGTTACGAGGCTACACGGTCGGGTATTTATCTTAAAATGAGAGAGTATAGAATGTTATATTTTTCTGTATTTCAATACTTATAGAAATAAAAACTTGAATGGAAACGTTCTCATAGTAACAAAGATATGGAAAGAGCTTACCTCTTTAGCCATGGCCGCCGCATACCCGTGCCGACAGACCAGCTACACCTCACAGTAACGAATAGCTGAGTTGATACCATAAGAGTTTTAAATGATAGTAGTATATTATTACTCACATCAGCTAACTGTACCGCCGTTGTATCTAATTGGTGCTGAAAAGAAAAGACCCCGGAAAGACCAACTGCCGGGCCATTAGAGCTTGGTCTGACCAACAGGCTGTATATCCACAAGTTCAGTCGAGTTACCAAGTCTCCAGCTCACAGCGCCGCCCCAATCACCCTTGCCTTCATCGGTCTTGGGGTTCTTCCACCTCCATCTCGCCTCAGGCTGCTCTCCCTTCTCTGACTGCAACAGATTCTTCACAAACCCGCCAAAGATGGGGAAGAACTTGAACCCATGACCACTATCTCCAGACAAGAATAGCACCGATGAAGACGTGTTGGGCACGTAGTCGATGATAAAGTCCGAGTCGGCTGTATCAGCGAACCAGCAAAGTGTCTTCTTCACGAACGGCCTGTCAGCGAACTGAGGTAGGGTCTGTCGCACAAGCTCACGGAGCTGCTTCTCATCACCCTCGGGTAGGAAGGCACTCTGCTTTAAATCTGTAGGTGCATGCGAAATTCCAGTCTTGGGATCAGTGTTGATGAAGCCACCGCCCATGGGACATAGCTTGAGGAGATTGGTCTTGGGATCGGGCTCGAAGAAGAAGCCGAGATCGCGTGCGTATGTCACTGGGATACCCCGAAGAGCAGATGTCTCGTCGTCGGTCAGATGTAGGTGAGCCACAGACCATGACTTTGCGACGAGTTGTTTGCCAATCTCTGGGACAAGCTTGGCACCAGCCGCACCGACAGAGACGATGACCAGATTAGAGGGGTAAAATAGCCCGCCAGTGGTTTTGACGCCCTTTGCTTTGCGACCACACGAAGTCTTCTCGTAGACGATCTCAGATACAGCGCCTGCTGCACCAAGGATATACTTCACGCCTTGGGCCCGCGTCGCCAGAAAAATGGACTTCAACGCGTTACCTGAGTGCGCGTAACCATCGAACCTATTAAAGTACCCGTTCCACCCAGGAAACGCGCTGTCCTTGTACTGCCAAACAGCATCTGCAATATCCTTCTGGCTATCAAGTGGCGAAAGATGAGATCTCATGCGAGGGTCGCGCTCCGCAGCAGCGCGGAATCGATTGAGCGTGTCAAGCGCTTCTTTGGGTGCTTTGCCAGAAACACAGTGCAGGAAGCCTACTTGGTGGAAATGCGGAGCGAACAGGGGAGTCTGCCAGGCCTCAATTGCTTTCTAATTGGTCAACGGGTCAGTAATGGTCCAGTAAAGTTTGAAGTTGGGGTAATTGGGGGACAACTTACCACTGTGAGATCTTGGTACAGAGGGTCTTCGTATTCTGCGCGCACGATTTTGTTGAGATCATTTGCAGCAGACCATCGAGAGGGGATCTCTTCATCTTTGTCGAGGACGGTAATGTCCTTGTAGCCTGCTCTGAGGAGGTGCACGACTGTTGAGAGGCCAAAGGCACCGCCTCCAACGATAAGGATCGGTTCAGATTTGGAGACGCTCATGGCTGCACACTGGAAAGAGAATTGAAGCTATTGCTGATAAGACCGAAGTAATTGAGGCGTCATTCTATAAGTATTCACCCATTCCGAGACTCCAAACGCATCGTCGTTCGATATCCGGCCAGCACCGTCTCGTGATGCGCCTACGCTTAACGCCTTTCCACCATCCGAAGCATCAACAATAGCCAGAAATGCAAAAATAGGCTGGCGACGCCGCCAATGCGACACCGGGAGACGTCCCGATGCTGATACCAGAATGATTGGCACTGAGAAAACTGTACGCTATTTTAGCGCTATCGTCTCCCCATCCGTGCTGAAGTGGAGTCTGGCTGGAAGGTTAGCGTAGCCGCAAGTGCAACCCGACGATCTTTGATTACGGTTTTGGCGCTCTTGGGTCTGGTGACGACGCGCATTATCTGGACTCAGCTGATACCAAGGTTCGGGAGTTGATTACAGCCGTTATCGGAGAGTGTTTATCGCGGGGGTCTGTTGGAAGCCGTTTACCGGCATGGGTGCATGCATGACTGACACTGGGGTGAAGCTAGGATAAGCCGACATGATTCTCCATGGCAGATGGATACCAACAGTGACCCGCATTCTCTCCAGTCTTGATAGTGAAGTGAGATGTTAAGATAAGATAAGAGAAACGACAGAAGGGAAGACATACCATCAGTAAGAGTGGAAACATCTTTCTTGGTTCTATACCAATACTGCGAATTGCTGTCAGTCCTCGGCTTCTAAACCCGAGACCAATTCCTGTGAAGAACCCTTCCAGAACACTTCGGCGAACATCACAGCAAACTTCTAGAATATCTCTCAGGCACAAGTATGCAAGATAGACAGACCCTGTACCCTTAACGCCGTTAAAGAAACCTTGGGTTGAACATAGCGTGGATGCATGTGCCAATCAAGACCTCCATGCCGTCCTGCGGCCTGAGACCAAGACGGCATTTATCGAGCAACCAATTAAATGACTGCATATAATCCGATGAAGGGTATTGTGGCTTATAAAAGCTTAGCTGCTAGCTTGTCTGCGGTTTCTGACATACTATCTAGTATGTTGTTGATCTGGTTATCAGCAGAGCATCGTCAAGAGGATCGAACGAATCCGCGTGCATGACGAGCTTCAAATTCAAGCGTAATCAAGTGAGAAACTACGAGACAGATCATAGGACCTTTGTAAAGATTTGTCTTGGGATGGTAAAATAGTTGGTAGAGCCTCAAGACAGCCTCAAGACGCGTATACGAACCAATTGCGTGGACATAAATGCACGAGCATTGATAAGACCGTCTTAAAGTCTCGTAAGTTCTCTATCCATTAGTTACCCTCATTTGCGATCACTTGTAGTCAAGTATAAGGTCAAGAAAGTGTTCATTAAAAGTTCATTAAATTCAGTTTTTAGCTTTTGGTACAAATCTAGATAGGCTATGCTAAGTCTATTGGGTGTTGGAAGGATACAAGAACTCCTCAAGCTCAAAGAACTCCTCCTTGACGAGACGAGGAGACACAAATCGTCGAAGCATGTCAGGGCTACCAGCTCGGTCGTTGGTACCAGAGCTGCGAGCACCACCGAAAGATTGCTGGCCGATGAGAGCAGCAGTTGTCTTGCAGTCTGTAACTTGTTAGTATTGTGTGAAAAAAAAGTCATACGGAGGGGAGGACTTACTGAGGTAGAAGTTACCAGCAGAGTAGCGAAGAGCATCCTCAGCTTCACGGAGGGCAGCACGGTCTTGAGCAAAGACGGCACCAGTCAAGGCAAGGCCACCGCCATTCTCATCAATGTTCTTCAGCATAGGAGTGAAGTCAGAGTCCTTGTAGACATAGACTGCAAGAACAGGGCCGAAGATCTCCTCGTTGAAGAGACGGTGATCAGGCGAGTCAACCTGGTAAACAGTAGGCTTGACAAAGTATCCAACGGAACCATCGTACTTTCCACCAGCAATGAGCTTGACCTGAGGATCCTTGTTGCTCTCATCAATGATCTTCTTGATCTTCTCAAAAGACCGGCCGTGGATGACAGGGCCCATGAAAGCCTCGAAATCCTTGTCTGGGCTACCTTGGGTAATGTCCTTCATCTTCTGCTGAATGAGAGAGAAGAACTCCTTGGCCTTCGACTCGGGGATATAGGCGCGAGAAGTAGCAGAGCACTTCTGACCTTGGTACTCAAAGGCACCTCGGATGGTGTGGTTGACGACGTTGTTGATATCGGCAGAGGGGTGAACAAGGTGGAAGTTCTTTCCAGAGGTCTCGCCGACAACGCGAGGGAAATCGCGGTATCGCTTCTCAGCAATACCCTGACCAATCTTTCCATAGATCGAGCGGAAAACCTCTGAAGAACCAACAAAGTTGAGACCAGCGAATTCGCGATGCGCAAGGACAGTCTCGGTGATCTCGGCGGCGTCGCCAGGGACGAATTGGATAACATCCTTGGGAAGACCGGCCTCCTGGAGGATCTTGTAAATGATGGTGCTGGGGTGAATGTTGTACTGCGAAGGCTTCCAGAGGACAACGTTGCCGAGAATAGCGGGTGCGATGAGGTTTCCGCCGATGGCAGAGAAGTTGAACGGAGAAACAGCGTAGATGAATCCCTCAAGAGGTCGGTAGTCGATGCGCGTCCAAATACCGTCTGTTCCACGCTCAGGCTGCTTGCTCATAATCTCAGCAGCGTAATGGCCAGCCAGACGGAAGAAATCCGCCAACTCAGCCGCAGCATCGATCTCACCCTGCCAAACATTCTTTCCCTGCCCCAACATCGTCGAAGCGATAAGCTCATATCGATACTTTGTGGTAGCAAGTTCCGCGGCGCGCTGGAAGATAGCAGCACGGTCGACGAACGGTGTGTTTTGCCAGTCCTTCTTCGCCTTGAGGGCAGACTCGATAGCAGCACTGACTTGCTCCTTTGAAGCGAGGGGGTAGTTTGTGAATGTTGTGGCGTGTTCTGCGGGGAGGACTTGGTCTTCGTTGGCGTGAATCTTTTGGGACACGCCGTTGAAGATGATTTCACTCTTTAGAGGGAGCTGAGAACGGAGTTTCTTGAGGGCTGCTTCTACCTTTGCGCGCTCAGGCGAGTTCTTTGTGTATGTGGGCTAAACAGTCAATATCTGAGAAACGATTGCTTTGGAGAGTAAGTTAACTCACATTGGGCTCATTGCGAGCGGCGGGGAGTCTGAAAGGCACAATCGTAGCATTGCCTCGCCTCTGCAGTGAAATCGCAGGTGTCGAAGCACGAACACGGCAGAGAGGAGTCAAACGACCCTTTGACGTCAAAGCACGAACTGAAGAAGCCATCTTGTAGTATGAGGAAATGCGATCTCGTACTGTACAGCTGCAAGTTTGATATGATGAATAGAGAAAAACGTAAACAGATGCGCTTCTGCTGGGCGTTTTTATGTTGACATCACAACCTTATCCCACTGAAGTCGGGGCTGCAACCGAAACTTTTTAGTGGAGTGGAGGGGTTGATTCAGTTACCCCTCACAGCGCTAAAATGGAAGTTAAGCCACTTTTTGGGACCGGGCGGGGGGCCGACAGTGTCACAAGACGCTGGAGGCGCTGCACGGGAGGGACACCGATGGGGGGTTTTTGGTGGTGGGGTTTGGTGAGTTTAGAAGGGTCGGTTGAGGATCCCGTGGTGTCGGTTTGGCCGTGCGATGGTGTTGGCGTAGCTGTAGTTGTACTGATTGGGAGGGATGGCTGGGCTTGAGGGACAGCTCCCGGCATTTGCTGGCTTGGGTAGTTGTTCTTCTGGAACGCTATCATTCTTACATGGTGCTGCATCTTATCAAACATCGCGACACCAACACCCTGAGAGAGCCTTACCTGCAAACCACTGTTACTGTCTTTTGCCCTTCAAACTTGACACCATACCTCATGGAAAAACACCAGGATGTCGCTGAAACAACATTCAGTCGCAGCCATTTATGGAAGCCCATCGTTGGGGATATAGCAGCAGCCGCTATCTCTGCAACTCTAATAACACCAGTAATCACAGTGATTGACCAGTATGTCTCATTACCTCTCACCAAAAAGCCCACTAACAAGCTCCAGATCTATGGTAGAGAAGGTTTCTTTCAACAGACCTCTCACACAGGGCATGAAAGTTCACAGCTTGAACGCTATCAAACATCCAGGCCGCTTCATTTTCAGCAGTGCGTTCGGCTACGTCTGGACTCTATACGGAGCGACGTACGCTGTATCAAATGCATCAGATACGCTCGCTCATGAGTTTCACAAAGCTGCTGTTGGAACAATCACTTTTGTCAATACGATGATAGTAAATGTTCCTCTTGGCGTGCTGAAAGATGTGCGCTTTGCTCAAATGTTCAGTGCTTCAACAACGCCGACTGATAAAGTCGCCCCTGTCGTCAAGCCTGGCGTACCTCGAGCCGCTACAGCTACGTTTCTCATGAGAGATGCCATCACGATCTTTGGGTCGTTCACGATGGCACCCTGGCTATCATCTCTCATACCTGACAGCTTATCGTCAAGCCCGCACTCCAAGGCGATCATATCACAGCTGACAGTACCCATATTCTCACAATTCTTCGCTACCCCAGTTCACCTGCTTGGGCTGGATTTGTATGCCCGACCGCGGGGAATACCATGGGTTGAGCGTTCGGCACAGATCCGGAGGGACCTGTTCTCAGCCACAATACTGCGGTCTCTGAGAATCATCCCGGCTTTTGGAGTAGGGTGTGTGGCGAACATGGAGGCACGGTCAAGGTTTCATAAGCTGTTATAGGTAAAGCTTCTAGAAGATCCATTGGTTTGGCGTGTAGAAAGCAAAGCAGGTACAGGAATGCACACAGAACGGGAAGACTAGTATAGTAGATCGGAGATAATTTGCACTTTATAAACAGTCCAGCTGGGGAAAAGGGAGGAGGCGTCTGGTTCTTTGGTATACAATACTTCCTATCAACTACCATTCCTAGCTAAATCTATGAAGTAGGCCGTGTATCATTGACATGGGTAGTAGTCTCCATCAACCTTGCCAGAGTGACCGCTTCCCGTAGCGCGCGTCCAAGATGGCCCCTGACTCCCGCTTCTTCTAGAACCATGATTCCTCCGATAGTACAACCTTCAGGCGAAGTCCCCTGGTCTCTCAAATCCCCCGGTTGCAGTCCACTCTGAAGCATTGCAGCTGAACCCCTCATGGATTGGTAGATCATAGTCTGCGCAGTAGCCCTGGGTACACCAACGGCCACGGAGGCATCGATGAAGGCGTCGCAGATGATAGCCCACATTGCTGGGGTAGACCCTCCAACGGCTGTAGTGGCGTTCATGAGACGGGGAGCAACTTCGGTGGTTCTGCCGATGGTGTTGAAGAGGTTCTTGGTAAGATCCATAAGCTCTGCTGGGACTTGAGGCTCGGTAGGCGATTTCTCAATGGCGATGAGACCCTCTGAGACCATGCATGCGATATTGGGCAGGGTACGAATAACCCAAGCTCTGCCAGAGGCGTTCTCTTTGGTAGTCTCGCTTCCGTAGAGTGTTGATTCGAGCTTTTCTTTTGTCCAGCCAGCAGCTACACTGATGAGAAGCTTGCCTGACAAAGCATCGCGAATACCGTCTTGGGTGAGAACGTCGGCGATGTCAGCTGGGTCAACGCCCAAGACTATCACGTCGCCGTTCTGAACAGCTTTGACATTGTCGCCACGAGACACAGTCAAAATGCTGCTGTACTCTGAGAACTGTTCATTAAGCTTTGACTGAGATCCTTCTGATCGCACGCAAGCGATGATCTTTGTGAAAGGCAAATCTGTTTTGCCGTCTTTGATGGCAGGAAGCAAATTCTTCACAATAGGTTTTGTGATGTTTCCTGTAATCGTCAGTCCAAGAACTGCAAAATCATTGGGGTCATCTTACCTGTTCCCAGAATGGTGAGTGTGGCATTGCTAAGACCAGCCATGGTTGCGATATCTGTCGTGACAGGGGACACGATTGAATGCTGTGAATTATAATGTCTTATTCGCCGAACGATCAGACAAATTGTAGCCTACCAGGGAAGCTTATACACATAAGATAGGCAGCCTATCTTGTGACCTCACACGAAGAAATAGACCAAACCACGACTGGAAAGACGTTGACAAGTCGTGCAGATGCAGGAATGTTATCTCTTTGTTTTGATGAGGGGTAGTATCAACGGGAGTGCTGCCGATGAATGATGCTGAACCGTGGGGTAGAGCTAAGCTCCGCATTTACAGTGGGTTACAGGGCAGGGCTACGGGACCCTCACCGGCGCCACTCGATGTGCGATGGAACACGTTTCAGTGCTCGTGACACTTTCCAAGATGGAGGAATTGAGTTTCTGGGTGAGATACCCCACTTTGTCAGTGCCGACAGCATTTACAAGGATTGGGAATGTGTCATTGACAAGAGAGAGATCTGCATGGATAAGAAGAGGCGTGCGAGGTGCACTGCACTAACATCCAGTGTTATCTCCCAGCTGAGACATTCTAGCGCTATCAGAGCGGTGAATGATAGAGCATCCCTTGCAAGTCAACATTGAGATTGAACGAATACACGATGGCACAGATCAAATTCTGGATTGAATTCCATTCTTAACTAATAATTCTTTGTAATTACAAACACTTTTCGCCTATCGCCAGAAAGCCAACCGTCTCCAAAGCTCGCTCTTCAACGCCGAATACTCATCCAGCGTTCGCGCAGCAGCATCCCTATTCTCCATAGCCCTCCTCGTGAGATAAGCCATGCACTCCGGAAGCGTACCCCACGTAGTGCACTTATAAACCTCGGGAGCCACCCCCGCATCGTCCTTTAGCTTCAGCAGCCCGAAGCTAACCTCGTCCGACATGCCATGGAGCTGCGCAAACTTGACCGGCACAGTCGGAAGACCCGCCTTGGTGCGCTCCTGGTGCGTTTCGTGAGCTTTGACCAGCGACTCTTTGTTGTGGCTGGCTAGGAGGAGCTGTGCGGAGGGGAAGGGCTTGCTTGTGCCGAAGGAGCGGAATTCTTGATGGAGAACACCCTGGGCGATTTGGTTGTACGAGTCGTCCGTGTCTTGCTTTGTGTCGTGGATTAGGGAGCGGGGATCAGAGGCCATGTATGCGCCGCGAACGACCTTGACGCCCAGTGTGAAGCCCTTGTCAAGAGCAGCTTGGAGATGCTTGGCCAGAGTGTCATGGGTGCTCTTGAGATAGGCTTGGTAGGTATTATAGAGAACGACCTTGCCGTCCGTGTTGAACTTTTGCTGGAGTTCCATGCCGAGACGGAAAATGCCCCATTGGTAGTGCTGTGATTCAGCGTCGATGAGAATGTATGCGCCGCGGTCTTTGCACTTTTGTGCGATCTCGTGGCTAGCGTCGACGAATTGCTTGGGGAGTTCGGTGCCGTTGGCGAAAGCGTCGCAGACTCCAGGTCCAGCGCCCGTCATTCTGGTAGTCTGTTAGTATGCGATGCGGTGAAGAATAGAGATATCTCGACTTACTTGACAGCCAATTGATCTCCCTCGCGGAGTAACTCAACAGTCCTGACAGTTCCCTCTCTCCAGGCCTCAATGTTCTCGCACCACTGAGACTCATTCGAGCTCGAAGATTCGATACCAAATCCCTGATCTTTGCCAGTCTTGGCATCAAAGACAGTCTCCTTCGCAAATGTGAGAATTGTTCCTTTGAATCCCATATCCTGCAATGACTTCATAGTGCACTGCGTCTCAGCGCCAGTCTCACCAGCGCAGAACTGTTTGTAAAACGTATGCTTCAGCAAGCTTCGCAGTAGCGGGTTGCGATCAACATTGAAGAGATATGGGTTCGCAGGGTTGGAGAGCTTCTGAAGAAGATGTAGCGAAGGGATGAGGAGCCATGGTCTTGATGATATGGAATTGACCAGGAGAGAGCGGTAGAGAACTAGGGGAGGGAGTTCTGAAAGTGGTGATTCTGCGCCTTTGGCGACGGGTGTGTTTGTGCGTGTCGCCTCAAGCGCTGCTGCGGCGTTGGTGGAGGAGTAGCGAGCGAGCGCGATGAGGCTATCGCGCCGCACTCGCGAGGTAGGGCGGAGTGTGAGGGTAAGGCCTTGAGCGGCGCGTGAACGAGTAGTAGTTGAGAGTGTTGTCATGTCAGGCACTGAAAGTCTCTTCGCAAATTTTACTGTGCTGATGATGACTGCGTTGATGTGAAGGGAAGAAAAAGGCAGTGACGGTGGTAGTGATAAGATGTGCATTTTTGAAGTGAAGCATCATAACCTTATCATCTATTTGACTTGGAACCCCCCAACTCACGCGGCTCTAACAACCTTTTGGCCACACCCTATCGGCACCCTAACCGATACGCGTTTCCCTTTGAACAAACACCGCGGGGAAGCGGGGTAATTCGTCACATGGACATCTTATCGGTGTCTTTTTTTACTTCCATTATCTTTAGCGAGGTGCATTGGAGGTCTAGACTTGGAAGCGGGAGAGTTTCCCGATGGTTTTGGCTAACCCCACTTTGGTCACGTATCACAAGAGACATGCTAGCTACGGGAATGACACCGTTGGTCCTGGGATCTTATCACATCTGGAGAAGTTAGTCCACATGCGGTAGCTGGGGGTCAGGGCGTGATAGGCCATGCATCGGCTTCTCCTGGCGAAGGGTAGGGGTTGGGAGCTTGGGTCTCGGGTTTGTGGTACGCTAGAAGCCGTCTTGCATATTCTAGTTTATATCGGAGCTCTGACCGGCGTGGGATGGAATTGGATACGAGGGTCTGTATGGTGAAGGATACATTGGGGTTGGTGGAGAGCGGTTATGGACGGATCTTGTTCTGCGCCAGTGACCTTGGAACGTGCAATGAGTTTAGGGGTCGTGTTGTTGTCCTGTGTTCTTTTGTGATCTGCATGTTCTCGAAGTATCTGAGGAGCGCGAGGTCCGATGCGGAGTATCCAATCTGTTATCTGCTGGTTGATCGTCGATGGCGGACCGGGAGCACCGATGACAAGCCCTCCTTTAGAGCTGGCTGAGTTGCAGTCGGAACAGCTGAAGGAGAGCATTTGCCTTGTGGTGGATTGTTTTACACTTCTCTTGAAACCGTACAATGTGCGTTGTTGGGTAGGGCTTTGTGCGCTTTACGAGCATGTTTGATCGATATACCACAGAGACTTTACTGGCATTGTGTAGTTTTAATCCGGGTAGTGTCTAGTCCTTGTGATACAGTATCCAAGTTCTTCACTGCACATTTCGAACCACCTCGTCTAACGATTTTGCCACATACTCAACATTGTGATCATTCAGTCCTGCAAGACTTATCCTTGACGTATTCGCCATGTAGATGTGATATTGCTCTGAAATCACGTCAGTATACGTTTCAAGATACAAAAGATTACTTACCTTCCAAACGTTGAATCTGAGGCCTGCTAATACCAGTGTACCCGAACATACCAGTCTGGTTGACAATATGCGACCAGTCTCCCGGGGTCCCCAGTCGCACAAGCTCATCATACAACTTCTTCCTCATAGATCTGATTCTCGAGGACATGGTAACAAGGTCCTGGTGCCACTGTTTCAAGAGCTTGGAGTTTCCAAGAACAGTAGCTGCGATCCTAGCTCCATAGACCGGGGGATTCGAGACAGTCTGTCGCTGAGCATTCTGGAGCAAGGAAAACACCGTTCTCTTGGAGTCTTCGGACTTTGTCACAATTGCTGTAAGTCCTACTCTCTCTCCGTAGAGACCCATGTTCTTGGCGAAGGACATGCATATCGCGGCTTCGAGGCCTAGATCTTCGATGATGTGCTTGATCGCCCATGCATCTTCATCGTAATTTCCCGAGTTGAAGCCAAGATAGGCTGAATCGATGATTGGAAAAATTCCGTTCTCTTTAATTACAGCTGCAATTTGTTTCCATTGATCACGAGTTGGATCGCAACCAGTCGGATTATGGGCGCATGCGTGGAGAACAACTGCAGAACGCTTATCGGCTTTCTTCAGTGCGCTGATGTAACCTTCAAAGTCAAAGCTTCGATCTTTGTAGTAGGGGGCTTTGGCTACGTTGAAACCAATTTCTTTGAAGAGAAGATCGTGGTTCGACCAGGTTGGGTCTGTGATGATGATGTTCTCGATACCTGAGTTGGCCTTGCGAAGAACAAGACCGGCTAGGAGGAGAGATCCGGTTCCAGAAATGGATTGGCAACTCGCAATCTAAAAGGTATCAGCAATACAAAGAGCTTAGCGGTGCAACTTAACCCACTCTGTTGTCTTTGAGTGCGGAAGTATCGTGAAATAACAACTTGGTAGCCTCATCGCGGAAGCTTTGCAAACCTTCAATGGGCAAATACTCGTGTCCAGCATTTCCAACCAGCTTCTCAGCCTCCCTCACCGATGGAAGAACCCAAGGCTTAGCATTCTCATCGCGATATGTACCTTGTCCAAGGTTCACCTTCTGGGGGCTCTGGTCGGCGTTGAAACGCTTGGTCACTTCAAAGATGGGGTCAGGCGGGATGTATTCCGCTGCGCCAAAGGCTGAATGCTGTTGAGTGGACATTGTGCTGTACGAGTGTGGAGATAATGTTGTTAGATGAATGTGGTAAGCTTGACCTTGTATATCGGCAGGTTGAAGCGATTCTGTTCCTTTGTTATAAGTTCTTGGTGAAAATGTCGGCGCCCAAGTCCGGCGCGGGGCTGGCTGACTCGGTGGAGGCGATCCGACGTGTCACGGGCAGGGATCCGATCCGTTGACACAGCGCAAAACGCATCGGCGGTCATCCGGATTCTGATCTGCTTATCTCATACCAACAGCTTATCCAATTAAATTATTCTGTAATAATGAATAGTAGTGCTTCCCTGAGGTGAGTGGTTGAGCTACTTGCAAGTGTTAGGCTTCTGTGCAAGTGCGTCGTGCTATGACAGAACTACCAGTCACACTCTCGTTTAATAGAGTAGCAAATACAAATCACCTGTATCAAAGTTTATGAAACTTAGGCCATTGACAGGTATGAATTTGACCTACACCACGATTGTATCATTCTTTGTGACTCCCAGTCCGTCATGTTGCATTTCTCGGATGACTCCCAAGATTCATATGTGTACGCATAACTGCATCGTTCGTTCCACGCGATTCGAGAAATCTAGTCTATATTCTGCCATCATTGTGTTGTTTCATTCAATACCTATGACAGACTTTCTTACGATGGATGAAAGTCTACTGAAGGCCATCCCGTCGTGAGTGACGAAGCTTCTCTCTAGCGCAGTCTTCGTGTCAAATAAAGAGGATAGACTTATTCTTACATCCGAATTCAGAGGGCTGAGCAGTGTCAGATTCATTGACCTACCTGATAGGTTGATGTCTGGAGCCAAGGATGCCGTCTTACGACGAATTAACCAATATGGCAGCATGCGCCGCTCTCCCACGGATCACGGGAGGTAAGCAGTTTAAGCCATTGACGTATGTCCAAATGCTTCAAGAAACACTCTCACTCTTTTAATGACAATCAAATTTCGCAATGTCCTCACTTGACTCTTTGCCCTGCGAGATCCTTCTCCAGATCATCCGCGACAGTTCTCCCCAAGAGCTATGCCGTCTCAGTTACACCTGCAAGCGCTTAGCATCAGTTGCTGGAGGCTGTCTATGGAGGGACATTGAACTTCATGAGAAGGGATATCACGAGTCAAGCGCAGAGCTCTACGAGCTATTACCACACAAATCTCCCAATCGACTTTACCATGATTCCAAAAGGGATGGTTGGCAAAGCGACATCAGCGAAAGAGCCAAGAGTCTCTTCACCATGCTGCAGGTACTCTACGCTCACGATATAGGACGTTTCAGACACGTTACTGGCAGAGTGAGGAGTCTGTGTACCGTGATTGAGCCAGAGTGGAAGCCTCATATGAGTTCAGTGGCAGAGCCAGTCTCTGTTTGGAAGCTTATACCCTATTTCAAGAACCTCGAATGCTTAGAGCTTCACGGGGCCTATGAAACTTCCGACCATAAAGAGCTTGAGGAGATACGAGGACAGCCGATGACAAAACTGCGTTTTGCGAGGCTCTTCGCGTATATCCCCCGACCAGTCTCAATTTACATTCTCCAATCTCACGGAACGCTCGAGCGCCTGGAACTTGCTATGTTAGATGAGCCGCTGCCCAATACAGTCGGCATCAGTGAACAAGATACTGAAAGTCATGGCCGATGGGAGCATCAACCCGGGGGAGTCATTCCAATGCCATTGGGAAATTTCGTCCCCGATGCTCGAGTTTCTTTCCCAAACCTCAAGTGCTTATACTTATGTTCACCTTGTAATAGCCTTGGTGATTACTTCAACCAGCATAATTCATGGTCGACGACCGCAGAGCGGGACAGTCTCGAGGCATGGAAAAGGCTTATCCTGGCGTCGAGTCAGACTCTGGAGACTCTTGTCATCGAACATCGACCTGCAGCAGGAATCGAAGACAACGAGGGGTTTTCTGAGGACGAGTTTCTCTCCACCGGAAAGACTGGTGCTGGCAACAAGGCATTGGTGGATGCCATCGGCGACATGATCCTCGACAAGGAGAGGCTACCCAGATTGAAACGAGTATTTCTGTATGGATTTGTTGCTGGTAGATCATCTGGAAAACCGTCTGCCGGCACACCAGGAGACTGGTTGATGCATGGCTTGGGAGCGAGGGAAGTCGCATGCGAAGCCAGGAGAGGGAAATGGTGTCTATTCGATCAGGAATCAGGTGAAACAAATTGGGCAAAGTGGACTGGAGATGGGAATAGTAATCTTCACTACGGCTATATGGGCATCCGATATTATTCACTTCTGGCTCGTGTACAGAGGTGAAAGGGGTTTTTTAAAACCTTCATGTTTTGCAAGACTCAGTGCAGCGCCTGGATGAACAAGTCAGCGAGGGTCAACGGCCACTGATCGATAGTGAGTGGTAAGCCCCAAAAAAGAACAACAAAAGAATAAACTGGATGAAATCACCTCGTGTGCCTTCACACGGGATCGAACCGTGGACCTTGTCATTACTAGTGACACGCTCTACCACTGAGCCATGAAGGCGCCTTCTGATTGGATGAAATCTTTCGATCTATGTCTCCTTATCGAGTTAATTGATGGGCAATGCCTCCCTGTATCATCTTCATCCTTCACGGGGAAGGACATGTAGTTGAAAGGAAGAGAATGACGACCTACGTGTTACTGATAGCGCTTCAGAATACCTCTCGCTGTATTAAGAAGTAAGCTAGAAAAAGTCAGATTAAACAACATTTGGCTACCTAAATAATGTACACCTTCCCAGAACAGATAGAGCTAAGGACAGTTCTCTATAGAAACCCGATATGCTATCCATCTAGCTGTTGTAACTCTAGGAATCTAAGGAGTAGCGCATTTAAATGGGAAGTTTACAAGAACATAATACAATACGCAAAGAAAGTATATCTATTTAGATTTAGTATTATTCTTAAGCTGACTGGCAATCCAGGTAGCCGTGGCAGGGGCATTTGCTTCGTAATTCTGGTGGGTACGCACCATCTTGGTGAACCACCACGGGCACCCCAATACCCAGGCCTCCCAGGGGACCGTTTTAGAACAAAAAGAATCGCCTTTTCTGCAGACAACAAGAGTACGCGACTTAAGGATTTTCCCCATCGATTTCTTCTTTTTATATCCCAAGGTAGCAGCTACGCAAGGTGAAGTCAGTGGCAAGTTGTCAACGCTGTGAAGGGGATAGGTACTAACCAGCAGCGATGCGCGCCGTCACCTCAGCAGTTATATTTTCAGCACTTTGATGCAGAAGTGCGCCGCCCGCGCTGTGACCGACGAGGACAATCTTGGTATCGGGACACTGGGTTGCGGCCTGTAAGCGCGTTGTCAGTATTATCGTCACCAATGTTGCCTCCTCACATCTTGACGTACCCGGTTGATAAGCTCACTCATGGCCCGACCGCCTGCTTTAGGGCCTTTCTTAATAACGTTCTTTATATCCGCCTTATACTTCACGCCTGCAATGGCCAGGTTCTGTGGGCCAATAAGCCCGGCAAGTTCATTGAATATGATGGGACCAGTCTCATTTACGGCTCCTACGTTGCCCTCTGCCCCCATTCCTCGGGCGTAGATTATAGTAACATTTCGGCAGGGCGTCCCATCAGTGAGCTGGTTATATGTTTGGTCGGGGTATGGGTATCGACCTTGGTACTTAGGTTTTCCCTTGTCGCAGCGCTTGACATGTGGTTGGGAATGAGTGTCGATTTCAGGGGGGGTAAGGGTCATTCTCTGCTCCACGGCGGGGGCCGCATAGGCAATGGCCGCAAGAGCGATGAGAATCTGAGTGGGCTTCATGAAGGACAGAGGATTTGCCGATCAAGGGCCGACTGACTTGTCGCTGCAGAGCTGTACAGACCAGAGTCGAATCACAGAAAGCAAGAAAGAAACATGTTATATACAGAGTAACGAGGGGTAGCTTGTCATTAAAAATGTTTCTTCCTCGCTCTATCAAGCACCGTAACCTTGTCCCCACAACAGGCCGAGAGTCGACCAGATGTCAGTGTTTGGGCGATAAATGTTGTTTCCTGGTTACATCTTGATTGCACACCTGAGCCTATTGTGCTTTTCGCGTGATTTCAAGCCCTTGTCAAGAAAGAAGTAATGCCGCAGCCACATATCAAGTGGCGCCATTTCAGCACAACCACAATATAAGGGCGTCATACACTACGCCAAAGCGAAAGCACAATGGCCTCAGTATCAGATAATGTTTAACCTTGTCTCCACGATGGCACATAGTGGAAAGATCAAACACCCAGGGGCATTGCATTGCTTCAGTGTTCGGCCCGTCTTGAAGCCTTTGGTCGCCTGGTTCCAGTTGACCCTCCAAACATGGTCATGTTCTTCTGGGCACTGGTCATGGTAAGGCTCCAAGGAAAATAAATTCGCAATATATAAGTCAACGTATCTTAAGCATCAGATGAATCCCAATCATCCAGGGAATCGAAATTATTTGAGTCGAGGTATATAATAACATAAAAATGTTTCACTGAAGAAATCATCCAACCCGCTTCTAGCAATCTATCCACATACTCACTCCATCCTACTCATCATCGTATCAACCATCATGAAAAACATCAAAAGTCGCCTTGCTCTCTGGACCTTAGTTCGTGGTAGAGTATGGCTGAGGGTTATAAGGACGCGACACCAAAGGATCGTTGGACTGATATCCAGTCATGTTGACTTCGGTTGTGGAAGCATTCCGGTTGTCTCTCTTGAAGATGAACAAGATCGCCTGGATAGAGTCGGAGGGGTTCAACATGGCCAGCCAAGCATGGATACCGAGAGGACCGCCCTGGTATGACCCCTCAGGAATGTTGCCCTGTTCCAACTTGGAGAAGCTTCCACGGCCATGGCCAGTCTTGTAAACGCTCCATGGGTACGCAAACATGAAGAACAGCGACAGGGGAGCCATTTCGATGCAAATGACGAGGTTGGGAATACCAACGTGAACATCAGCGTAGGTGAGCGTGTCGCTGGTCTTGAGAACGTTCTGGTCGTTGAGAACGGTGAAGATGATCTAAACAGTCAGTGTCATACTATGGAGGTAAGGAGGGATAAAGCTTACACCCTGGATGAAGGTCAAGCCGACTACGATCTTGAAAGCAGTGAGCTTCAACATCGGGTTATGGTGGGCAAGGTCCTTCTTGAGGAGCATGTACATCTGTAGGATCGAGAGGACGGAAATGACGAGGGAGATGGACATGATGATTCGGAGATAGATGTTGGCGAAGTGTCGGTCGTTGCTTTCTTGACAGAAGATACCGGCGGCCTGGGTAATGTCGGTAGCGATTGAGACACCGATTGCAATGACGGGCATCTGAAAGATCATGATCCAGCGTGTCTGGGAAGCTGTCAGTAAGATTTCCAATTGCTGTTAAGAGATAAGTATACCTTGAACCACTTAATACCATTCTTCTTCTTTGTGGCGAAAAAAACATCTTGTTGGTCGCGGTTTGGTGATACATAGTCGCAGAGAAGAAGGAAGAAAGATCCGAGCGCGAAACCCTCGTAGACGTGAAGCCAGGGTTCGATATAGACTGCTGCATGGGGGAAGCAGATGCAGAGGAACGAGATGATGGAGAACGCCGAAATCAGTGTGCCGATTCGCATAATCCTAGGGTTATTAGCACGTATACTCGGGTCGGAGAGTTGGCTGCGCGTACTTGACTTGTTCTGAGGGGTTCGAGAGATGCGTTGCGTGCATCATGTTGATGAAGAACATGACAATAAGAGCGAAAGCAGCGAATGATCCGCCAATGATCATGCTCAGCTGGTAAAAGCTCAAGTTACCGGTGATGTTCTTCTCGGCATCTGACATACGTTAGCTGGAGGTCAACGCGTTGGCGGGTCTAGTAGTACTTTGGGCGAAAGAATGTGTAGGGCAAGTAACGTTCGACTTGTCGTCGTCGCCGCTTCTAAAGAGACCCATCGTGGTGGTGTTCTATAAAGTTGAGAAAAAGAAAAAGAAACAAGTATTTCCTAAGATGTAGTCGCTTGTCTGTTGTGAAGATGAGATGTGAATTTTCGCAACCGGCGACAGAAGCTCAATATATACAGATCCCAACAGCGTCATCCCCAAGCTAAACCCCTGCAATGAAACCCTCAAATCTAAGCGCAGTATCAGCACAGCCAACTATGGATCAGCGTCAGCCCTACGGCATAGCTTTCCCACCAAAACGGCCAGTGATACGACCGATCTGCCGACATTGGCACCTTTTCTGTATTGTTGAACAACGGGGTGCTCCGCGGGCTTGTCCGGCAGATGCAGGGATCAGCGTGCCAGCCTCTCATAGCTTGCCAGGGGTTTGGGAGCTTGGGACACGTAGGGCTGTTGTGATTTGCTGGTTCAAGTGAGAGCGGCCGGCTGGCTTATTTTTGTGGCTGTACCCTGTCGACGTGAAAAGTCGCTCTTGGGAGGAGATGATAGGGCAGTGGAAGTAGTTGAATCCACTCAGGTCAACGCTCTGCCAAGAGATTCATCTGGGGCCTTAAATATCCTTCTCAAGCTTAGCTTCAACCATGTCCTGTGTCGTGATAGGATCAACAAGCTCTCCAATCTTGGCGCGGAAAAAGACTTCTTTGATGAGATCTCAAATTGAAACAAGATAATGACATTGATGCGTGTTCTTGCGGCCTCCCAGGCAGTGCGAGATCGGCAGTTGTAGCTCGAATGAATTCCTGCTTTTAGCATTTCCATTCGAAAAGTGGCTTAGAGGAGTGACGGTGTCGCTCGAATGGCTCGTCAAAAGCGGTCTAGCTTCACGTTGATCAAAACAAAACCCCACCACGCGTTTAGATAAGGCGGGAAATCGGCACGATAAGGAAATTATCGAAACTTTTGCTCAATGCGGCTTGAATCAGGGACGATCACATCGAATTGGTTTCAGAGCATGAGATTATCCATGTTGAAGGATCTCAAAGGATCCGCGAGGCAGCCTTTGTCATGTCTCTTGGAAAACCTCTGCCGAAGTCCCTCGACACATCCTTGCCACTAGCTTGACGCAAAGGTGTCTTGAAGCTTTGTGTGACAAACCCTATACAACGTAACACCCGTTAGTTTGCGGACCAACAAAGTTACTCGTTGAGAACAGTTGTCAACAGGCTGCATAGATGAATATGTATTTCGGAACTCAAAATCAAGTTTAGACTACAACTAACCTGAGCTATGTAAATCCAAGAATCCTCATGAGAACGGAGAGTCGGAAGATGTCTCGCCGTCTTAATGTCTTGCTCATGCTGATTGCAAGTAAGAACTCTACATAGAATCATGCTTAACATTTCTTACCTGACTTTATTTCTTCCGCTAGCTTGACATAATTTTCTACTCATGATAATTGCACCCCAATATCCCCGTCCTAGCATAGCCTCTGCGCACTTTCGCTCCTGCGCTTACTCTTTACTTCAGAGCTGACCCTGCGTGCAACCCTCCTACCGTACAGTCAGTAATTATATACCCAATTGATATCCTGGGAACAAACCTGTAACAAGCATATCTGCACCTGTTGTAAACGCAGCTGCATCACTCAACAAATAGCACACCATAGGTGTCAAATCCTCCGGCACGCCCAACCGTTGTAACGGGGCTCCATTTTCGTACCAGTCAAGGATAGCCCTCTTCTCTCCCTGTAGGCGTGCCAGTAGAGGGGTTTGGATTGCCCCTAGACCATTATTAGTGTCATGACTAAGATTGCCGAAGACGACGTACCTGGCGAGATGCAGTTAACCCTGATGCCGTATTGACCCAACTCGCCGGCCAGAGGACCCATAAGACCCTTGATAGCAGCCTTACTGGCGTTATAAGCGGATTTTGGTTGCACTGGAACGTAAAGACTTTGAGCATTGATGCTAGCGATCGCAACTATACTTCCAGGCGTTTTGGTCTCGACAAGATGCTGTGCGAGAAGCTTGATAGTCCAATATGTCCCCATAACATTGACATTAAGGACTCGCTGGGTGACTTCCCAGTCAGCATCAAGCAAGGGGGTATCCATCACAATACCAGCCGCCGTGAGCGCTCCATGAAGCTGTCCGCCTACGGCATCGACACAGTCGGCGAACGCCTTTTCAAGGGAGTCTTGTTTGGTTACGTCGCCTCGAGTGTAAAATGTCTTGACGCCATAGCGATCAGTCAGAGATTTGAACTCTTCTACTGGTTCAGGAGCTGTGTCAATGACAGCGATGCCACCGCCGAGTTGGGCTATGGCTTTGGCGCAGGCGAAACCAATACCTCCACCTCCTCCTGTGATGAGGAAGTTCTTGCCGGTTAGATCAAATCGATCTGTGACTTTGACGTCGCCAAGACCTCGGGGATTGAAGGTTGTCATGATTACAAAGAGTTTAAGAGAAATGTAAGCCTGCGAGACTACTCGTGCTTAGGGAATACTCTTGAATTTTATGATGATTCAGCTTATAACTAACCGCGGACAGAAGTCTGGCTTGAATTACTGGCTATATAGTCTAATTGCTATAATCTTCATTGATAACGGCTTCCTCTGCCGCAAGCGCTATGTGCCACGGATTCAGAAGCCGAGGAGACCTAACACCAAGAGTCCGGAGGGACAAGAAAAAAAAATAAGATCTTAATCCTAAATGACAAAAGTATTTAGGTAAATTTAGCCTAAATTTAGGGGATTCTTTGCCTAATTTAATTTTGCATCATCTTCTAGCGTCTTAAGCTTTCTTACTCCCAGAGGGCGGGGTAGCTAGTCATCAGGTTTTGTTCTGCTGGCGATGATTAGCGCGGAAACATTCCCTACGTGCCATAGTTGCCGGGTATCAGATAACGGCAGCGCTCCCGAGAATTCTGTACTTCTATATGATAATCTCTAGCTATATATGTACCGAGACGAGATGAGCTGATACACATAGCAATCGAAGGGCCCTTTCAGATATCCCTTTCCCAAGCTACACTCCTACCCCAATCAGTCTTTATTCATCAGTTGAGTCCCACCACTCATATCATGGTTGGAACCACGAAGACCAAGCCCCGCGTCAGCCTTGGGCTCTTGACATTCGGCCCCGAAGGTTCAGAAACCTATGGAAGCCGCATTACCTCCCTTGACACTTTCAATCAATGCCTCGACTACTTACAGTCCCGCGGTTATAATGAAGTCGACACAGCCAGAACCTACGTCGGCGGCCAGCAAGAAGGCTGGACCAAGCTTACCAACTGGCGAGAGCGCAACCTTACTCTCGCTACAAAATGGTATCCTTACAAGCCTGGCGATCACTCCAAGGCCATTGTTAAGGAGAACTTGAACAAGAGTCTTGGCGAGCTTGGTTCCGATAGCGTGGATATCTTCTACCTTCACGCACCAGACCGTTCCGTTCCGTTCCAGGAGACGCTCGAGGCTTGTAATGAACTCTATCAAGAGGGAAAGTTCAAGAAGCTTGGTCTGAGCAATTATGCGGCATGGGAAGTCGCCGAGCTTTGCACCATCGCTGACCAGAAGGGCTGGATCAAACCCAGCGTTTATCAGGCTATGTACAACTGCTTGACCCGCGCCATCGAGGAAGAACTTGTCCCATGCTGTAGAAAGTTTGGGATGGATATTCTCGTCTACAATCCCTTGGCTGGTGGTGTACTTTCAGGTCGCTACAATAGCAAAGAGATCCCAGCTGACGGCGGACGATATTCTACCCAGGACCCGGTGATCGGGGCGATGTATCGCGACCGGTACTTCAAGGACGTCAACTTTGAGGCTTTGAAGGTGATTCAGCCAGTAGCTGATAAATTGGGGTTGACGCTCTTGGAGATTGCGTTCAGATGGCTTGTTCACCATAGCAAGCTCAAGGTCATGAATGGGAGTGATGGGTTGGTTATTGGTATCAGCTCGCTCAGCCAGCTTGAGAGTAACTTGGATAATGTCGAGAAGGGTCCGTTGCCGGAAGAGGTGCTGGAGGTATTAGATGAGGCATGGAAGATCACCAAACCTTCTTGCTCTCTTTACTGGAGGTAGTCTTATTGACGTTTCCCCTTAAGAACTGATCGATGAATTGGAAATAATTCCTACGTGATGCGATTGGTGATGAATATTGCCGATTCGTTGATCCTGTTTCAAGTTCCTGATTACTTCGCACTTTTCTTGACCCCAAGATGTCTTGCTTACATTGTTATGTCTGACCATGGGCTTTCCTTCGCCCCCGCTATTCCGATTCCAGCACTGGTGCCCAGCTACCCAATCCAGCCAAGCGTCAGAATCATCGTGTTCTCATGACAGCACAGCAACGCGTTGCGACACGAAACCACTCATCAGAAAAACAACTCCCCGTCCTTTGCCCCCGCCACTCACCTAAAGCCATTAGCAACAGGAGGATATACAGACGTTGTTATCGCCTTCTTCGAATCCATTTCATCTGAGCTGACAGAATGGTCCGCGCTTCTGCATTTTTGATCTTGAGCCTTTTCGACTCAGCTCTTGCTATCGCCGCGCCGCAGTTCGACCAAGGTGCCGAGTTACGCAAGTCAGAATGTGATGCAAGTAGCTCCTATCACATCTATGAGTTCCCGGCTAACGCATGCCGCAGAATGGCTGCTTTGATGCCAGCTTTCCGGGAGGTTCATGTACCAATGATCCGGCTTGTATGTGCAATCAGAAGAAGTACCGCGAGGCGTATTTCTGCTGCATGGCCAAGAACTGTGATGCAGACGTGATGCCTGGTCAGTATCCTCAAACCTTGAGAATAATGAAACCCTCTAATGATCTACTTGCAGAATCTGTTGAGCGCCAACATACAGAATGCCAGGCCAGGAACCTCGACTTTACCTTTGACGCTGAGAAAGTTTGCGCCATCAAGTCAGAAGGAACCAGTACCTGTTCCTTGTCTTCAACCACGAGCAACACCAAAACTACTTCGCATGTTTCACACGGATCTTCAGCGACATCGATTCCGGCCTCTACGACATCAGAGGCAGAAACTACCAGCAGTACTAAGGGCGCAGAGCGCGCTTCAAGTACTGCTCAGGAATCATCTACAGGTGGTGCAGCCCCTGTGACGGATAGTGCACCACGGTTGGGTGCCTCTCTTGGGGTACTGAGTATATTATTCATGGTTGTTGGGATACTTATCTAGGTTGAAGCAGTTACTTGGATAATCATCCATTATAACATTTAATTAGCAATGCCACTATTCCTCAACATCTTCCCCCAGCTCAATCGAGAGGACGTCTTCCATAAGTTGAGTAACTGTCAGGTTAGCAATCGAACTCCAGTAGGATATGCTGCACTTACACCGGCCAGTAAGCATGAATGGTCCTGTCATTGAGGTCCCTTCTGACCTTTGCCAGAAAGATCGTAACCTCTTCCTGAGTCCACCCAAGAACTCTTGTCAAAGCTGCCATGGACAATGCTTCAAGACCCTTGAAGCTATCCATGTTGAGATTGTTCCACTCACCAATCTCCTTATACCTTTTATCCATGGGCCAGCGGTTCGTCGGCCACTTAAAAACAGTCTCTACAATGTCCACAAATCCCGCATCGCGCAGAATGTCTTTGTTCTTTTTATTGTCCTGAAATGGGCGACCAATCTTGGTAGATGCCTCATCAAGAAGATGGATAAGCTTAGAGAGGTGATGGTCTTCAGTCAGGGTCTTGTCGTCTGAGTGGGCGAAGAGATCGATTTCTAGAAGTTCCACGTAGCCACCAGGAACAAGGTTGCTAAGGTAACAGTAATCAGCATTGTTGTGCTGAAGGTAGCCATAGACCTTACTCGTAAATACTGCTCGCAAGGTTCGGCCAGCTCTTGATGCTAAACGTCATCATTCGACTGTGAACATAGTCGAATGGCTCAGAGAAGTTCCACGGCTCTTCGATATCATCGATAAAGAACTCCACGTTCGGAGGAACACTGATCACTGTCAGCAGATATCCTGCAGCGTTAACTGTGGGAAATACAAATCAGGCTGAATTGGCGAGAGGTCAACACCAACCACTTTTGCTTCGGGATGCTCGTCGGCGTAGTCGATGGCCCATATTCCCGTGCCGGTGCCAACGTCAAGAACACGTTTTGCCTTAGAATTAGGACCATTCGGAGGTGCGAGACCGAGTTTGTTGTCGAGCATCAAAATAAACAGGTTATGCTGCAAGTCTAGCCGAAAGAATCAGCAGTGAAGACAGCCTCTCGAGGCTTTTCCATACCAAGTCTCTCCTTCTCGACGTCGTCATTAGGAAGGTTATACTCTGTGATCATCAGTCAACTGTAACAACACAACAGCGAAAGAGACTGACTCCCATCCTTATATCGATGATAAGTCCTCCCATTTTCCTTTCGATAGTCTAGAATGGAGCTCCTCAAGCTCTCAGACGTGGATGCTAGGCTCTTTCCCCCAAAGTCAGATCGGTAACGTCAAATGTTCGTGAGAAGCGACCTACCGATCCAATAGACGAGTCATGCTCTTCGCTAGACTGAAATTCGCAGTTAGCGAGTCTCCTTGTAATTCATGGTAACTGGTAGACGAACCTGTTCATCCGGTACAAGGTCAGGCTCCGCGTTGATAGTTGGTTCTGCCATTTTGATAGAAACTATTTAATCACGCAACGTTGAGAAATTCCCCGCCCGGAGAAAATCATGCTTTTTTATAAGGAAATACAATCCCAGTCGAGCTTTGTCATCCTGTTGGTTGAGTTCGTCGCGCATATGCAGATGGGTTACCAGGGTTTGATCATACGACGCCCCAAAGTAGTGAGTGTTTTGGTTAAGGTCTAACTATTTCGCCTAGACCGATCCATGGTGAGAATTCTACAGAGGTAATCTACGTCTGATAATTCTCCTTGTACTTTAAGATCATTGATAAAAAATGGTTACTCAGTCGCTCTGTTCATGATCACGCAAGCACTCGTTCTATGCACAAGAGTTGCCAAAACAATCCTCATTGGTAATCTATCTACATCTTCATCCATCGAGCCTAATGCTCGCGAGATACCTTATAATTCCAAAACCCTTCTCGAACATTTCCTCCGTTATGATATCGCATTCCTCATATAGATTCCGCTTTTTTTGTAATCTTTTCTCGACTTTTCATATTTTTTTCTAGTTAGTTTTCTCTGTTCTTTTCGAAGCTCGCAACGGCCCTAGTAATTCATCAAGTATCCACCGTTCCACTTGAATATAGAAGAACGGGAAACTTATTGACAAGCTACCTAGGACATCCTCACCTAGTAGTGGTGGTGGTGGTGATGGTGGTCATGGCTCTCACGACGACCCTGGCGGCGGGGTTCGTACTGGCCACGGGGAGGATGGCCCATCTGGAAGTACTTGGGGCGTTGCTCACCTTGCTGATCAGGATTCTGCTGAGCAGCGCGATGGCCACTTGAATTGTTCTGAAACGGCTGGAACCGCGGAGTATCCTGGAAACGAGGTTCATCCTGGAACCGTGGAGCATCCTGGAAACGACGTTCATTCTGAGGCTGAGCTCTCTTCTGGCGTCGAGGTTCATTCGGGAACATATACGAAAAGGCACGCTGTGGGCACTGGCCGTTAGGGGGATATTTGGGCTCGTCAGTAACTCTCTCTTCCTCACAACTAGGGCAGATCCAGAGGCGAAACTCCAACTTCACCTCGTTTGGAGAAGCACACTCTGGACAAAAACCGTGGAACTCGGGGTCGTTATGAGAAGGGACTTCCTTGAGTCGTCCGCAATAGTCACACTCGTGCATAGAGAAGATAAGGCGACACATGGTGAAGGATGAGGAAGAACTTTACTTTTGAGAGCTGTTGGTAGTGTTTGGTGAGTAAATATTGAGATGGTGTGTGAAGGTTGCTATGAAGGCTGTTATCAACGTGGATGAGATGATGGATGATGATGGATGACTTGAGGCGATGGAATGGAGCTATTTAAAGGATTTCAGTCAACAAGACGTAAGTGATATGATATAATCTATCACTCGCATTAAATGTTGTTTTTCAGCATGAAAACTAGTATAGTTTCCTTGAACTCTTCATCATTCAGTCTATTGTTGTTTGAACATCTATAACGAGCAACCCGAACACCATTGGACAAGCATTGATGTCGCATCTCTTGGGCACCAGCAAATGTTATTATTGACTCTCATATAGCCTCTCCACCGAACGTCGTTCTCATCAATGCTGTTCAACGTGTCGCCAATAAAACAGTCACCATATCTGGGTTTCAACAGACAGTGATGTACAGTATGGACCTCAGGCGAAGGATAAAAGACTGAACAAATCACGTCAATGCTAAAATGGGGGTTGGCTATGGTAATTCAGTATTGGTTCAGCAGTCATCAGGGCTAAGGCGATATTGTTCATGGGGGATTGATCTACCAATGGCTCGTGATTACCGAACTAACAAAGAAATAAATCTACCAGTAGCGAATGCATAGGTAGCTAGTATATACTCTGTTCATACTCAACACTTGTATGAAATATCCTGGTAAAGCGACATATGACTGGACAGCCAGTCAAAAGTCTTGGTCAATACCATGTAGCCCACAACCAGTGATAATTGCTGACTGCGGGCCGCTCACTTTCAGGCAGCACTTGGAATTTCATGGACACCCAAACTGCTAATTTGATCTTAAAAATCCAGTACCAAAAGTGGTCGCCTCAAGACATACCACAGATGAAAGCCTTTGCTCGAGATGTAAATCACTAGACCTCGACAATATGGTGTCCGGTCGTTGGAGCGATGTTAGTTGCCGGGAGCCAGTAGTCTTCTTTGGCAAGCGAAGTACTCTTCTGCATGACGAAGGCTGCCCCCTCTGCCAAACGCTGCTTTCCATCGCCGCGGGCGATCATGACACTGGCCCCCTCGGAAGACATGTAGACTTTTGCATGTTCGCTATTCCAAGCCAGCTCGCCTACAGAGGAGCGAAACAAACGATCCCGTTTGATGTGGACTTAGGTGATCGGGTTTGGAACGAGCCAAAGAACGAAAAGATTCGACGTGGCTAGTTGTTCGAAATCATCCTAGACCTATGGATGCCCCTTCCGGTACATTATCGTACCGCGGTCTGCTCATTACTTTGGTTGTTTGGCCAACCTTTCTGACACTTTAAATGGAGAGTCGGTCAGCGAGTCAGAGTGATTAACCGCGCAAAGGCTGACTTTGAAGCAATAAAGCGATGGCTCATCCATTGCATGGAACAGCATGGGGAATTATGTAACCCGGATTCAGAAAGCCGACCTCGGCCAAGGGACATCGCTGCCATTAATTGTACGACTCAGGACCTGGAGCCTTTGCCAGCCGGAGCAAAGTTCGCAGCTTTGTCATATGTATGGGGAGAGAGGATATCTACACCTGAGTTAGATTCTTCCATGGCCAGCCTTACTCAGACTAACGAGGATGCAATTACTGTCACGGTCGAGGTCGGTATTCAATTGTCTCTTGTAAAGGGTGGCACCGAGCGACATGGAATCACTTATCATAATGGCTTTTCCATAACACCGGAGTACGAAGCGGGTGATAGCATATACAAAGATTTGGAAGCGGGGCATACTTGGCTCGGAATAGTATTTCTGAACTCTGACATGGTCTTGGTCTTGAAGGACGTGGGAGACTATTATGAAAGGTTCGGATATATCGATGTTGACTTTTCCGTCCCCGATCTGGAACTGGGAGATTACCTTCTGGGGCACAGACTTATCCGCTTAGGGTGATTATCTAGATCATTGTTGTTGAAACCATGAATCTGCATCCTATATGTTTATAAGTATTTAGATGTTCACATACTTTGTCGGTGAGGGTTAATCGCTCCAGTCTCTATTAATCACTCCACCACTGCTAGGAGATCTTTGCCTTTGGGTTTGTGTCACGATTCGGAAGACTGCTTGCTATCTTGAAGTCAGACATATGGTGACTATTCAAAACCACTCCAAGTCTTCTGGACAGCGCTCCAATATCTCGCCTCGTCCTTTCTTGCATGTGCAACATGAAGAGACCCATCAAACTTCTCCAGATGAACATCAAAACCCAGCTTCTCCGCCTCAGCAGCCTGCGCCTCCAGATCTTTATAGTCGATCAACTCATCCTCCTCACTATAAATGTATGTTCGTCGAATCTCACGCTCCCTCTTGCCCTGAGCGGTATTATGCGTCGAGCCCCAGAAAGCCAGCCAGTCTTTTGTCAAACCAAGAAACTTGGTGAACTGCCATGCAGCTGCAACGAAATAGACAAGCGGCATACAAACCCAACGATAGGACTTTGGAACAGTAGATTTGAAGAACGCGGCTGTGTTGGTGAGGCGCTGAGCACCAGGTGCTGAGTCAAAAACTGTTACGTGAGGCGGAAGCCATGGATCTTCGCCTTCTTGAGCAGTTGCAGCATACACATCATATAACGATGAGATATTGGACGAACCGCCATTCGAAAAGAGATGGATCATGATTTCCGGCTCAGCCGTTGATGAAATGGCAGCTGGGAATGATGCTCTGATAACTGGCACCGCTGGCTTCACCGATTCCGCGAGAACTTTGGGATCGAAAAAGTTATTGTTATAGCTCTTCACGAGAACAAGCTGCGACGATGGGTATAGTTCTTTGTGCTTATTGACATATTTGGCGATATGGCCATCAAGCGCGTTAGTCCAACTGGCGATGATGATAATCTTCGGAGAGGCCGGCGCGGTAGGTTCAGAAGGGCGGTAAACAAAGACTTCATTCGAAAGCTTCTCCATATAGGAGAGGGGCTTTATCTGTGCGCTCATATTGAGAAGTGGTACAGAGATTATGAATACCGATAGATTCTCTGTATTCGAGGTCAAAATGTGTTGATTGTCGATATTTGGGCTTTGGTGGTGCTTACGCGATCCTACGGTTCGGGTGAGATCTGACGCGGCGGGGTAAGTAAGCGCGCTTGATTATAGCGTCTAGCCGGATTAGATGAGTAAGTTGACGGTCCAGTAGGACAACAAACACAACGATTTAACATGAATATTCAAATTTGAGGAACTTCTGAGTGTGTTTCATGAGATGAAAAATATTTAATGTCGTTGATGCCCTCCCTGGCAGGTTGTATCTTTCTAGATTGGTTTGAATTGTTGCTGACCCTTCGCTGTCATTACTGAGCTTCGTACCTCCAGCTTGCTTTTCTTCTTCTATCAGCAACTCCAAGATTGGTTGTAGTGATTCCAAGATCACTTTTATCTTCCAGGGAAGTGAAAAGAAGATACCAGGGACGACACCGACCCGTCGTTCATCGAGTATAATGTTTGTTAGAGCTGCTCTTTGTCCGGGCCTGCCGATCTGGAACACCCAATTGTATGGTTAAACTTTGGAACAATACTACATTGTTGCATGTCACCCTTGTCCCTGAATCCAAGTCTCGTGCTGTTCCGAGCCTCAATGCCTAACCTCCATTAGCATCGTTGATCCGAGGCTACCAAACCTTGACCAGGGTACAACCCCCATTGTTCGCCGACGGATACCTAAAACAAGCAACTGCATTAGCCCACAGCGTTAATCAATCTGCTGATCTCGGTGGCTAACTTACCGAATCCTAGAATTTCGCTCCTATCAAAAGAATGCCCCCGCAATCATTCACGAGCCAAACTGTTCACCCTTGCTGGACTGCCGAACTGTTGTGCGTTGCCGATTGGCGCGCATCGACTTAAGCATGGATTCCTCACTTTGCGCGCCAATCATTTCCCCATATTCCCCAGATTTATCACTAACACACCCCAGACGATGGGGCTCAATTTCTCCGCAGCGGAATAGAGACAATGACGCTACGTAAAATGACACTACCTCGGCGGAGATGTCATCGTTATGCGACGGTTTAAGCGCAAGCTGACTATATAAGACTCCAGTCTTGACCGCATGTTTTGGAGCTCAGCAACCTGCCATTGACAACGGAAACAGGTCTCGAGATGCGTTTCGCCGCCATTGTTTCGTTCTTGCTGCCACTTGTGGCGGCAAAGCCTGCTCAGAAGGGCAAGACTTTTAGCAACGTTGAAATCTTTGATCCTCCCTCCAACTACAACGACCCTCAGGTCCTGTACGCTCGCCCTCTTGAGCTTTCAGATGGTACGCTTCTGGCTACTTGGGAGAACTACTCTCCCGAGCCTCCTCATGTTTGGTTCCCCATTGTGAGGAGCAAAGATGGCGGAAAGACTTGGAAACCTTTCTCCAAAGTCCAGGATACTCAGAACAACTGGGGTCTGCGATACCAGCCCCAACTCTATGAGCTCCCCCGGCGATTCGGAAAGTATCCCAAGGGTACTGTTCTTATCTCGGGCAGCAGTATCCCCACTGATTTGAGCGAGACTCTTATCGAGGTCTATGCTAGTCTTGATAAGGGTGAAACTTGGGAGTTCGTCAGCCATGTTGCTCTTGGTGGCGAGGCCAAACCCGAGCACGGGCTTACCCCAGTTTGGGAACCTTTCCTGATGTAAGTGGAGCTCTGATAATGCAATAGATCATTTGCTAACAGTTTCCAGGACATACAAGGAGAAGCTCATTCTGTACTATTCTGATCAGCGCGACAACGCTACACACTCCCAAAAGCTTGTTCACCAGACCACCACTGATCTCAAGAAGTGGAGCAAGGTTGTTGAGGACACCAAGTACGATGACTACTACGCTCGACCTGGTATGCCCACCGTCGCCAAGCTTCCCAACAACGAGTACATTTACACCTACGAGTATGGTGGCGGCCCCAACCCTCCTGCCGGCAGCACCTACTGGTTCCCCGTCTTCTACCGCCTTTCCAAGGACCCCCAGAAGTTCCTCAACAAGCCCGGTCAGCAGATCATCTCTACCGACGGTGCTCGTCCCGCTGGTTCTCCCTACGTTGTTTGGACTCCTTATGGTGGAAAGAACGGTACCATTGTCGTTAGCTGCGGTACCATGTCTGAGATCTTCACCAACCAGGCTCTTGGTGAGGCGTCCGCTTGGAAGAAGTGGAGCGTTCCTCAGCCTACAGCATACACTCGTGCTCTTCTGACCTTTAAGAAGGATCCTGATCTGCTTATGATTATGGGCGCAGGCATTCTTCCTCCTGCTGGTGGAAACAACACCGTCAGTGCTAGTGTTGTTAGACTTTCTGAAATCATGAAGGCTTAGACGAAGATCTACATAATTTAGCTCAATAATCCTAAATTCATAACAACCATCTTAGACTGAAGCTAGAGTATTCTAGAATCTTGTGAGACTGTGAGTCCAACTTACCTTTGCGTTCAATGTGAAATACTCAACATGTGCACAGTGGCTTCCAAAAGCTGAAGTCTGGGATTTTTCAGTGTGCTGATTTGATATGTCTCGTTAAGATGTCATAATCTTTCTCTACCAGCCAATGGTAGCTCCTTATTCATTAGCGATGCTCCGTGCTTAAAGTTTGGCCACGCAAGCTTCGAGTTTCGATGCTGTTCGGACTCTCGGATTTTACAATAAAATAATTCCGGCCACATTTAAGTGCATTCATCTTCACCTGTTATTTGTCTGCTTACACATTGACTTTTGAGCCCTATCCTACGTCATCGCATATATGTTTGAGCCTTTATGATCACACCCAGGAAAGGTTAACCTTATAGGTAGCATTCATCCCCATAGATCACACCTAGGAAAGTTTTGTGACACCGTAGTAACAAGTAATGTAATTTTGGAGTATAAATATCATCGCCTTATCATGTCTTCTCCCTCAATACCCTCACCAACAAATCACTCCACCCACATCCTCCACAGTCTACCTCACAATGAGTGTCTTTCAATCACTACGACGCGTCCTTACCATCAAGGGCCCCAAGACTGACGGAGCTGGTATGCCATCGGGCCACATACCGGTCCACACCACAAGGCCCTTTCGTCACGTTCCAGTGATACAAAAGCACTGCCGCGGCGATCCACAGCTTCGCGTGGAGCAAAACGCTCCACATACAGACTGTGATGTTAAGGGCTTGGACTTGGAGGGGGATCTCCTTGTCATCAAGAGGAGGCTCAAGGGTCTGGGATACTGCGACAGTGCCGTCCTGAACCAGTTGCAGGCCACGTATGGGGCCTCGAGGGAGATGCGCTGGGCTCTCAAGGGCGTTGAGCGCAAGTTGAACGAGGAAAAGGAACGGAAGAAAGCGGGTATGTTCCCGTCTGTGATTAAAGTGTATTCAGAGGTGCTAACACTATTTACAGAGGATTTGGAGCAAGAGCTCAGTTACTACAGGGGATGGGATAAAAGACGGACGGTCTCGGACTATACAACCTGACGTGCCTGGCCATACCTCTGCAGAATCCCAGGCTTGTAAGGGTGCGTATTCAAGTGAGATGGGGGCTCAGTTCTGCGAATAATGACTTTTTGGTTGCTTGCTAGGGGACACGATTTAGAGGGGGGTTTAACTTAAATGAGCTGCAGTGATCTCAGTGGCTAGGGCCCTCATAGACTTAAAGTTTATACAATTAAATATGAGGTTGACTGCCACCTATAAGGTTAAACTTTAAGTTGCGAACACAGGTGATGAATGAGAACACGATAATTCTCTTTCCCAATATAAGCTTTTACCTAGAAGCTTTCACGATGACCAATAAATCTTGCTGTAAGCCCTAGGGCATTGCAGAGGGAAGAGACTTTATACAATCAACAGAAGCTTTTACTGTAACAAATGAGATATTCTGTATTCTTTACACGTGCTAGCAATCTCAAGTTTAACCTTACAAGCAGCAACCACCTACGTAGTTGAATAATCAAGGTTCTTAAAAGACAACTCTGAAAGTCGTCTCACTGTCGGCACGAACAAGAGCTAGTTCCCTCTTTTTTCTTCGATTTGGGGTATATAAAAGGACGCTGACGCCACTGAATAACTTGCCATGTCACCCATGGTACCCCTATCCAACCGCCTTTCAACCTGCATGGCTCGAGATTCCTTACAGCACCAAACACAAGATAAAAGTACCAGAACACCATTTGATCATTATCCAAGTTCTATCAGAGTCAAGAAGTCAGTCGCGAGTCACTCCAATTATCTTTCAACATGACGCCGTCGAAGGCAGCGTCACACCCAGAGCTCGTGACGAGGCAAAGACAAGAGCTTGCACATAGAGCTTTTCGGGTCCGATTGATGGAGCGGCATAGACGTAGGCTCGAAGCTTCAAAGTTCTGGATTAAGCTTGAAGGACAATCGGACACCATTGAGGCTGTTGCACAAGCAGTTGGCATTTCATCGCCTAATGGTCGTGCTTTTTCTGCCACCGACTCATCGGGAAGTGTTGGCTCTTTTCTGGAAATCAATGCCATCAACAAGACCGCCATCGAAATGTACCTGAGAGAGATACCGAGCCTCACTAACTTCGTTCCAACATTTATCCCACGCAACCCAGCAAGAAGGAGTCTTTCATCTCATTCACCGCATTCAATATTGGACATCGAATCAACACTCCCTGATCGCCGACTAGCGCACTTGCATGATGAACCACTCCCCGAGCATATTAAGTACCCCTTTGGGTATTTCGTTGAAGGAGACCTAGCCGACGTTACGGTCCTGTTTAGTCTGCTAGGTTGCGAGCCTCAATTGAGACCTGCTATGGCTGCTGCAGGATTCTTGAGGGGGGGCCAATCATTGGCAATGTCAAATGACCCTCATGGGACAAGGATCGTGTCTGGAAAGGCACTTCTGGTTGAAACAGAGGCACAAGAAGACATGTTACGGGTGTATCAATCGAACCGCTATGAAGTTGTACGATGTCCGATCGACATTGGGGAAGAAGATATGGTAGATGGTTTCGCATTTCGATTCATCGAGTAAATTATAGGCTAGAGAATAAATACAGGGAAATTCCGAATGGGAATTGGAAAGATGGTGTGTAATAAAAAGCCAGTCGACAAAGTGCAAGCCCTTAGGCCTTAGGCTTGTAGTCCTCGAGGGCATCCCTAGCAAGAGCAAGGTTTTGGATAACTGCCAATCCATACTGCGCAACATCGTTCGTAGAAATCCAAGGTGCTTCCTCTCCAGGAATGAGCCCCTCATGCTCCGGAATCTCGGTTGTAGTGAAAGTGGCGGTGGGTGCCTTGAATCCGTCACTCTCAAAGAACTTGGTCCAGGCGAGATTAGCCATGGTGGTATTGTGTTGTTGGTTCGCAGCATATGCCGTGAGACGCGAGTGACCCTGGTACAAGTTCAATTTTCCGAAATCGACACCATATCGAGCCTTCTGCTCAGCAGCAGTGGCCTCGAAATAGTAACAGTAATCCAGCCAAGCCTGCTTGAAGCCCTCGGGGAGATCATCACCGAAGTATAGAATCAGCTCGGAGACAACTTCTGGAAGACCAAAGACGGCATTCAGATGCGATACTTCGACGTGGCCCTTGTTGTCGGGATCGGAGGGAGGCGGACCGAGGGTCCAGTTCTGAAGGTTGTAGAGACCATTACCAGTGACGAAACCGTTCTTGAGCTTGGCGATGCTCTTGACAGTGCTGGTGAGCTTCGCCTTGGACTCTTCCCATCGAGGACCGCGACGCTCCCAGTCAATGAGCCATCCGCCAGCAAGCGCACCCCAATCTGTGCCCAAGCTGAAAGCAACGGTTGCATTTGGCGTCGGGACCCAGCCATCCTTTCGGACCTTCCGCTGAGGATCAAGAACACCATAGGTCTTGTCAGTGTCAAGAAGTTCTTCGAATAGCTCACCAATGCGCTCATCACCGCCAGAAAGGTAGTAAAAGTACTTGCGATATTGGGGTTGTGAGATACGAGCCTGCTTGGCACTGTCGCTGAAGTGCTGCACACCGTGTCGCGTTCCAAGACCCTTCCAGTTACCGAGATGGTAAACGTCGACCTCGCCAGTATGACGCGTGAGAGCCTCGGCAAAGCGATAGATATCTTCACGACCCGTGCGCAAGAAGTACTGCCAGAAGAACAGATCGGGTGACAGCTCAGAGTTGTCCCATGCGTAACCACCAATATCATATCGCCACTCATGACGGTCGGGATCATAAGTGTGCATGAAGTCACCATAATCAAGGAAACCGTACCAACGGCGGTGCTCAACCTCAGACTGGTAGAACTTGGCGAGGAAGTTGATGTTATCCTCGAGCTTCTTGGACGCGACGGTTGAAGTGTCGGCGGGAGCCCAGTAGGTACCGATAGCCTTGGTCTGCTGGATGTACTCGCTTTCGGGGACGAGGACGGGAGGGTTGTTGATCTGTGTGACATGCTTCGCCAGTGTCTCTTGCGAAGGAGTCTTGTCGAAAGCAATCAGATACAGCTCACTAGTTCGCGCGATACCGTAAGGTGTGTCAAAGCCAGGTTCCCAGTCCTCGTAGGTGATCTCAAGAGCGTCGAGCTGATCGGTGTAGTTCTTCTGACCGAGGCCATCATGGTAAGGACGGAGGTCAAGAGGTTCAGCAGATGGACTGTACAACCAGAGGGTAATGCTTCCAGTGTCAGAAGCGGCGGAAGAAATGTCAAACCCAGTGGGGAATCGCTTCCAGAAGTCGCGAAGACCAACGGCGAGACCTCCAACAGTAGCACCACCAAGATAGGCAAGACCCTCGGCGCGAGTGCCTCCAGGGATGGAGACCCAGCTTTGGCCAGCCTTGGTTCGCTTCTTCAGAGTGAAACCGTCGGCTGAGAGCTGGCTCAAGCTGTAGTCGTTCCAGGGAGGAATCCAGTGAAGACGGCTGGAGACACGAACATCCCAAGTCGAGATATCTGGCAGCTCCTTGCCATCAAACTGATCAGCTCTAACATTAGCACCAGGATCTCTGCGAAGACCAGTGATCCCTTGGACGGCTTCACTGAGTAGACCGCCCTCAACGCCAGCAATACGGATGTGGCGGTTATACAGTTCCTCACCCTCAAGAGTGACGTCAAAGCGGATACCAACGGCAGAGATGAAGTCCTTGTCAGCATCTCCGTCAAAGACTAAGCTGTGAATGATCTTGATCGACTCAGAGCCAGAGTAGAAGTAGAAGCGAAGGACAAAGGGCAGCCAAGATTTATGGCCAGACTTGTCGCTCGCCGAATGCTTTCCTCGGACGGTGACCAGAGTTCGTGCAGAGTTCTGGTCACTGACAGTGACGTTATCAATGCTGCTCTGGAAGCGCAGCGTCTTGAACGACTTGATCTTGTCGTCACCGGGGTGAGAGACGTCGTTCTGCGACTGAAGAACGAGTCTTCCGTTCTGAGCGATGCGCTTGCCGTTGGTCTCAATCTCCTTGACGATCACAGAGCCCGTCTTGGGGAAGACGGCTGTGACTTTGCCAGTATCGACCTTGATCTTGCTGGAGCTCTTGGTGACAGTGATACCAGAAGAAGTTGTGGAGTTGATGCCTTCTGATGAAGGAACAGCCTTGACAACATATTCGTCAAGAACTTCCTGCGAAGCTCCAATCGCGTGGCCGGTCCACTTCACCGAGCCATCAGCCCAGTATCCAGTAACCCACGACTGGAGGTCAACATCTTGACCAGAAGCATCAGAAGCAGTGAACTTGGTATCTTTGGGGAAATACTTCGATTGAGGCCAGGGAAGACCGAAAGTGGTTCCTGAAGTAAATCCTGGCTTTTCACCTAGCCAGTGGACTTTGGCAGATGAAGAAGAGTTGCTAGGAGCAGCCATAGCTTGGGCTGCAAAGGCAGCAAGTAAAAATGAGTGGACGGCTTGTCGCAACATGGTGCAGCGACTACCAAATAAGAATTATAAAAAAGAAGTAGTTACTTTTGAGAAAGTTGCGTGATTGAGACAGAAATCGCATCTGTTCTTATGTACAATGTCCGTCTTGTCTTGACGCCATAGAGAACCACAATGAGAATATGCATGTAATTTCGGGAGATATACCCTGTTCAGCGGCAGCAGCCATATCACGGCTTTGCTCCGCTGCATCTCGGCGCTCGGTGGAGATGCATCCGAGAGGGCTCATGACTTCGGATGATCGCAACATGCACGAATGACCTGAATATTGCTGGGCATTGCGCGAACGGTAGGCTAGAGTCGCAGATCGCAGCCGAAATGAGGTTTAGCGAGTCCTGTAATTTCCTAACGGTCTGTCAGGCAAGGTTCCCCGCGTCGATTGGCTTCACATTTGTCAGTGAACGGACGGAATAATAATTGACAAGCGCGCGAGGGTTGCGTGATGCAACCTATAATGAGAATATGGTTAGATGGGCCTTTGGATACCAAAACGCTTGGGCGCTTGCATGGGCGGCCTAAATAATCTGGTAAGTAGCCTGCTAAGATAACCTAGGTTAAACTGAACTAAGGCCCTGGTTTTCTGTCATCCCTTCCAGTGGTTAGATGGGTTTGCTGGGTCTTTGCGGCGTTGGGGGTTCTGGATTGGGGGATCAGCAACCCACGCCGAGTCGCGGAGCAATTCACGCGGAGCATTCAACTCGGAACCGGAGTTTGGCGTCAGCCCGTGTCCACATTCAACGCGACTACACGTGAGCTTGCTCCCGTGGTGTCAAGTTCGGAGATAAAGCTTATCATGGTATTTCCAGAGGAGATCGGTTATCGATAAGCGTGAAACCTTCGGGCGCGTTCTCAAAATTTGGTCCCTCTGATTACAAAATACCAGGTCACCGTTGGCAAGCGTACATCAAAATTTTGCTCGTTCCATTCCATTGGCATCAAAACTTCCAGCACTGCCAAGTACTAGACTGTCATTGCAAAAACCTTGATGATCCGATCCATGAAACCGGATCTATCCGAGGTTAGTTTCTGTCTCGACGCGTTGTCAATGTGAGGCGCGGCAAGGACCTACCCTGCACCGTGGCCACGAAAACGTCTCACAGCTTCCCAATTGATCAATCGCTACAATGCAAGCTTCCTATTCAAGTCAATCACAGACAGTAATACAACATAAAATATCAGTATAATCATGCCGTTATCATCCCCCATGACGATGTCTCGCTGCGCAGATTACGCGGCTACAATACACAGCCTCATCCTGCACATACGGAGTTCCGTGTCTCACGTGACCTTCCATTCTTCATCCTCAATCTTTGTTGAAGAATGCTATCATCATATTCGCAAAAGCAACGTGAAACGATAATGAGTTCGTCAAACAACATAGAATCGCCACTGCCTTTATTGAAGACGTGCCAGACATGTTTTTCATTGAAGATTCGATGTTCCAAAACTCAGGACTCCGACTCTTGCGATCGATGCTTGAGGCTCGGCAAGACGTGTATCTTCAACCAAGCTAGGCGCCGTCAGAATGTAAATCGGCAAAGGTAAGAACTCTAACCTCATAGTTAGAAGTACAGGACTCATGATTGGTATTTATAGGGAAAGACTAGATGTCAGATCCAAATCCGAGCAATCATCCAAGTCGCCAACAAGTCCTTATGAGAAAGCATCTTCGAGTAGCAAACTGCAGGACATCTTCAACCCAAATGCATCATTTGACCCCTTTGAACGGGGAATCATAACTTTAGAAGCTGCTAGAGACTTGCTAGACTGCTACAGGACCCAATGATCCCATACTTTCCTTTCGTCCTCTTTCGAGATGATGTATCTGTTGAGCAGTTGAACGCAGAACGACCCTTTGCTTGTCTGGCGGCACTAGCCGCAGCTTCACATGCTGAAGTCCCCACGCAAAAAGCACTTGGGTACTTATTCAAGCAGATCGTTGCAGCAAAAATGGTGGAGGGAGATTTCTGTCAACTTGATCTACTGCAGGGACTCCTCATCAATCTTGCATGGTAAGTCTCGGCACCTGTGACAAGTCTGTCGGCTAAAGATTACAGGGCACACTATCAGGCTAAGCCAAAGAGATATATACAGCATCTCCATCTTGCTACTAGTATAATCAGTGATTTACGACTTGATAAACCTCGAAGACCAAAGTTATGGAGTGCCGAGGGCGGGAAAGATAAGAACAAGCCAGACTGGGGTCCTGATGAGATGAGAGCTCTTGCAGGAACTTATTACTTATCTTCAAGGTGAGTCAGCTAGTAATATTAGTGAGAATTGGGCTAAAAAGCAAAGTTCGTCTATTATTCTTCAGAAAACACGCCAATTCTTCTATACGCCATACATCACTGCGTGCTGCGAGCACCTCGCATCCTGGAACGAATACCCGACGGATAAATATCTTCCGTATATGATTACAGTGCAAACGCTCATCGAAGGAGTTGAAGATCTCGTCAACAACACAGCGTCTACTAACAACGGTCTGCATTTCTTTTCTGGGTGTCAGGAAATCTCACAGAAGTGTACCGAGGTCAAGGAAACGCTTCCTTTCCCTTTGAGCGAAAGCCGTAAGCCAATCCTATATCATACGAAATCTCTTACTAACGGTTTACAGCACCTCTGCTTCTCCAGATACATATTCTAGAGCTGTTACTCAGCCAATCATCGCCGAGAGGAACATCCTTTGGTTTAGATAAGTTCAACAATCAATTTGAACACGAAAGTTCACTTATAGACTGGCTGTCGGCAAGCATGTCCGCAGCCCGCTCTCTCATCAGCGTGATTTTAGTCATGCCGCAGGGCGAAGAGATGTACATGTCAAACATGGGCTGGATTATGATGGACTGCGGTCTAAACCTTGCTGTTCGCCTTGATCTTGTCGCTGCTAGAGGCAGCATATCTGGATCTATGCAACACCTTCGTCGGTTTTTAGATATGAGGCATACCCTTCGCCAACTAGTCTTGCGGTTCGAGGCGACGCCAGGTCAGGATGCACCAGCAGACCATCCGTTCTATGCTCTCGCGAAGCGAATACGTCGGCTTGAGAACTGGTACCTGTCGCAGGCGGAGCACCAGACACCAGATTCATCAGTTTCCATAAGTCCATCTGTCAATGACCAGTCGTTACTTAGTGTCGGCACTGATGCCAGTGGCATGTCAGTTGGGTCAATGCCGTTCATAGCCGGTCCTTGGCCAATGAGCTCAGATTGGTATCAAAACCCGGACCTCGACATTGGCAGTTTTCTCTTCGCAGATCCTGTCGAGTTTCCTATCAACTTGGGCTATGGAACCTAGGTATTTCTTTTTTAATAGAAATTTTTGTGTTACGCGGCAGTGCTGAATCTTGTTCATTGATGTGCCGTACGGAGTAAGGCATGGACTATCGGTTGTAGGAAGCTGGCGGCGTACGGACTAAGTCGGACTAAGGGACTGAGTGGAGCCTCCAGAGGTGAACATCCCCTGCTAAACACCACAAGACAAGTAAAATGACATAGAATATTGTCAACGGACCCATCTTCATTCGGCATCTCATCTAAGCCTCGGTGGATGTGTCGTAATGTAGATTTTCGTCAGATACAGGCTGCCTCGGGCTCAAATATAAGAAGGGTCTCTCAGCGCATTCTACTCTACCCGTTCATCAGCGCCTTTCTGGTTCATCACCTCTCATAACATCCCACCAATAACTTGCAACAAAATAATAATGCGAGCTTTTGCCATAAGCTTTCTTTTGAGCGCACTCAGCCGTGGCGTTTTCGCCAAAGATGACTGCATCAACAACGACATTCCTTTCCAGGCCTGCGCTCCCATCGGTGCATACTACCCTCCACCGACTATCGACAAATCCTCTGAGTCTTTTAAGAAGCTTACCTCCCAGTTCACCAAGACCTTTGACGACCTCGTTAAGAACGGTGGTAGTGATAAATACGGGCCAATCATGCCCAACACTACATCATTCTCGGTGGTCATCTTCGGTGGCGCTGAGTCGCTTCGAGATGATCCCGTGTTCTTCGAGTATCACTACACATCCCCTGAAGATCGGGTTTCGAACGCAAACCTCACTTCGAACACCAAATTTCCAGTTGGTGATGTGAGCATGATATTCACTGTTTATGCTTGGCTTGTCAGGATGGGCGAACAGTGGCAGACGCCTATCACCAAGTATTTACCTGAACTGGCTAAAGTTAAAGATCCGCTTACGGTGAACTGGAAGGAAATTACTATTGGTGCCTTAGCAGGCCAAATGTCAGGTCTCAGTCGAGAGTGTATGTTATCATCCGGAGCCATGGAGGACTTGGACTAACAAGTGATATAGCCAGAGCATGTGTTGTTGGCAAGAGTTGTGACTACAAGGGTAAGTGAAATCTTACGTATACTATTTGAGCCCCTTAGATTGATGTGAATTACAGCTTTCCATAAGGCCTTTGCGAAGAAGGCGCCATACTTCCTCCCGGATACAAGTCCAGTTGTCTCCTACGCCGCTTTCCAGCTTTTGGTCTTTGCCATGCAACGAAGTGATGGCGGATATTGGCCCTTGATTCTCGACAAGACCATTCTGCAGCCTCTTGGCATGAGCGACAGTGGAGTTCTGAGACACGGTGTCGACGATATCTTTGCCATGGAGAGTCTTGACACTTCAGCGACTGGTGAACCAGGGTATTTTTATTATCTAAACAAGATGAATCTGTGGCTAACAACCCTTGTAGTGCTTTATCATTTGTTAGCTCCACCAAAGATCTGGCACGCGCTGGACACTCTATCCTCGCCTCAGACCTCCTTTCACCTGCTGTTACCCGTCGCTGGCTTCATCCTAATGTCGATACTTCCAATCTTCGCAACGGTGTAGGTCGACCTTGGGAAGTTTACCGTGCCGGAAACGCTATCTCGCCCATCCTGGATGCCTTGACGAAGAGCGGAACTATTGGCAAATTTGCGAGCTACTTTGAACTCACCACGGACTTCGATGCTGGCTTCGCTATTCTGGCTCACGATAGCAGTGTTGAGGACAGAAAGCTGGACCTCAATGTGCATGCCGATATCGTTAGCGAAGTTCTCGGATACCTGCAAGTCATTGCCGCCAAAGAACTAGAAGCGCGCTATGCTGGATCGTATTCAGGCAAGGCTACTGAGGCTGCTGTTAACACCACTGACAATGGCCGGGGTCTTGAGGTTCAGAAGCTTGTGATCGGCGGGATGAACATCAAGAATGAGACCGCCCGGAAGCTCGGCGTTAAGGCTGATGACCTCGACTTCCGAATCTACCCAACGAACGTTCAAGACGAAAGCCGACATCAGTTCATTGCCGTATTCCAGGACAAGAGTGCTCCAATTGACATGGGCACTCCGACATGTATCACTTGGCAGGAAATTGGTGCTGATGCCGAGATCAGCTTTGTTTTCATGATTGGGCTGCAGGGCGAGGTCGTTGGCGTAGAAGTTCCCCAGCTTCACGTGAAAATGGAGAGAGCCACATGAATTGAGTGGTTTGTGACCGGTTCTCCATTGGGAAATGATAGGGTTACCATTGGGTCACATAGAAACTACTGATTGCTGAAACATTCAAAGACTCACCATTCCTATAGCGGGGCTGCTGCCTAGCGTGAACACCGTGAATGTCAGCAAATACGTATAACATCAGGCTAAATAAATAAGCCCTACATCCTCTGACCGATATTTGACTACCATCGTGAAGATTAATTCGCGTTTGTGAAAATGGCTTCTTCGGCACCGAAAGTTGCGCCACCTGAACGCCGCGATCCTCTAGAGGTTATTGACAAGCAGGCAGATGAAATCGTGGCACTTATCAAGAAGAGCAAGCACTTCATTGTTTTCACGGGCGCAGGCGTCTCGACTTCAGCAGGTAATTCGATCGATCGGTCTTTTCTGTGAATTCCACCCGCTGATTCGTATAGGCATTCCCGACTTTCGTGGACCAGAAGGTGCTTGGACACTGAGAGCTCAAGGGCGAGCTCGTACTGGAAAGGCCACGAGCACGCTTCAGGCCATCCCGACACCGACGCATATGGCCCTTGTGGAGCTGCAGAATCAAGGAGTTCTGAAGTATCTCGTCAGTCAGAATTGTGACGGTTTACATCGAAGGAGTGGCATCCTACGTGTAAGGACTTGCCTTTAGACTCCTGGCCACTATGACTGATCATCGTAGGATCGCATTTCGGAACTTCACGGTAACAGCAACCGGGAATGCTGCAAAGATTGTGGCAAGGAGTACATAAGAGGTAAGTGAATAAGCCACAAGAATATTTCTTATGCTGAATCGTCAAAGACTTCCGTGCTGTCGCCAGTTATGAAAAGTCAGTGCACGACCATCGAACAGGCCGCAAGTGCACTGCATGTGGAGGGAACCTTCTTGATACCATCATAAACTTTGGAGAATTCTTACCAGAGGAACCTCTGAAACTTGCTCGAAGTCATGCCAAGAAGGCTGATCTTTGCATCGCGCTTGGGTCATCCCTCAGTGTTCCTCCAGCGAGTGGCATCCCTGAGACATGCGGAAAGAGTAAAAAGAGCAAGCTTATCATCTGCAACCTACAAGAGACCTTCATGGAAGGTATAGCAGATATGCATGTTTGGGCTGAGTCGGATGTCCTCATGACGAGAGTGATGGATAGGCTCGGATACACCATTCCAAATTTTGTCCTGAAGCGCAGGCTTGTTATCAAGGTTGAGCGCGACACGCACAATCGTCAGGTCATTGTATTGACTGGCGTCGACGATGACGGTACGCCAGTCACATACCTCCAATCTGTCAAGCTCGAGGACAGCAGACGCGTAGTAAGGTCTGAACCCTTTTCGTTCGTCTTCCGAGAAGGTCTCAGTACTGGAGCCCAGGTCAAGTTCGCACTTGAGTTCATGGGACATTACAACGAACCTAACGTTGTTATTGATTACAATGTACCTGAGGAAGAGGGCGCAGAGACGGTGTATGATCTTTCATATGACCCGAGTACGGGAGAATGGGTGATCATGCGATGACAAGAGAAAACTACATTTTACGAGCTTATTGGTGCTGCATCTAAGCATAATTTAGACTGCAATCAAACTTTACGTGGTTTTTGCAATCAACAACCAACAACCAACAGCAAGTTACATAAACTTGGTCGCTAGACTAGGATGTAGCCCCTGCATTTTGCCTGCGACCGACTTGGCATATCCACAATGCCTCCAAACGACCTCGGGCCATGAATTCACGATTTTCATTTAAGGGATAGCTTTCCACCGCTCAGACACTCGATTCTGTGCTGGAAAATCACGGATTCTCTTCCTTCTTTCTTTCACTTAACCACGGCATTCTTTTCCTCACCAATTCTATCCCCGTTGAGTACCTAGCAACATTCACCATGATTGCCTCTAAACTCTTCATCACTCTGGGAGTCTCCCTGTCCGTCAATGCTTTCAGTCTCTATGAGTCTGGGACTGAAAAGGATGTGACAAAAGCCTGCGAGAAGGCCATGTCAGCGGATATCGATTGCGACAGAGAGGTAATCAGCTTTCTCAACGGAGGCTGGTACGGCTCTCTTGACAGTGAAGCCTTAACCGATGCAGTCTGCACCAAAGCTTGCTCTCAGTCACTCCAGGACTGGATCGCCAATGTTTTCGAGGACTGCGAGGATGAAGACAAAGCTCGAGGCGGCCTTCGTATCTGGACAGGTTGGAATGCGACTTGTCTGAAAGATACCAAGACAGGACGATACTGCAATGGTTAGTGGCTGGTAGACTTGAGCATAGAAAAATACTGACTGTATCCAAGACATTATTGCAGATTTCACTGATGTTGGAGAGGGCGGAGAGCTGCCGCACGATGAGCTTTGCCATCCTTGCTATGTGCAGCGTCTCGAGATGTATAAACCCTCACCGTACGCCCTCAACATCAAATGGCACGAAGAGCAACTTGAGCTCGTGCACAAGAAATGCGATAGTTCAACCTCCACTGAGACTACGGCGCCCACTGCAAGTAAGAGTGAACCATCCGGGACGGCGACTACGGCAGAAGACTCGAAAGCTTCTCAGACGGCCAACAGCGAGGAAGGGTCTGTATCATCCATTGGGACCCCAGTACAGACCGTATTGTCTGAGCCTACTGTGTCGTCTACGCCTAATGCAGCTGCGGAGTCTGTTCAGGGAGAGCTGCTCGGATCTCGGGCTCTGATGCTTCTTTTGTCGCTGAACCTCTTCTTTATGTAGGGGGATTGTTCATGTCTATCAGAGCATTAGAACTATGCTGTCGGATATATCCATAGGTATATTCTCACAACCTAATTTCGATCCTTATCAACACTTCGAGTGTAACCCTTGTTCACTGTAGTGTATCAAATCAGAGCATACGTCCGGGCATTTATCAGTAGAGGAATTGGAGGCCTAAACCACTCTGGCTTAGAATTAGAGTATTTACGGACAAACAATCATCGAGAGACCCGCTTCTTGCTCCACCTAAGATTCATTGTCCGGCAAGCATGCGAGGTTCTCTGCACCCTGGGTGTTTCTCCACCATTGTCCATAACGTTGACACGACAAGCTCTATTCCCTGAGCATATCGTAAATCCAGTGACAAACTAAATGCCAAGCCGGATGTAGGCAAGAAAAGAGAGAACTGGATTTTCATATCAGCAGACTTCTGCCCATGGCCCATGTAACGCTGTGTTGGTCGATGGTGATGTTGGTTGTTGGTTTGTATTAAGCGTGATTTTCGAGTCCCACAACTCCACAGGCTAGTCAGGTTCTGTTGACTCACTTGCCGTATTGATGAGCTCAATTGCCTCGGTTCTTGACTGAAGGGTTTTCCTTTGCCTGTCGGCGTTATGATGGATGTTGCTGCATATGTCGGGTTTATGGTCTGGTCTTAGTTACTCTCGAGCATAGAACAAAACGACATCTGCAGATGCTTCACGGTACTTGCTATGACTAAAGGGCCATGAGCGATTCTCGACAGGGACAGGGATTGCCAATTAATGACATTTGGGCCCTTGCAGCCCGTGCAGGGCCGTCTTGGCGATATGCACACATGAAAAAGGCCCGTTTGGTTCCATCATTATGGAGTACGAATGATTTATCTGACAATTTCAGAACCCTGCTGGCCTCAACTATTTAGGTCTATGCAAGGGGCTTGCCTTTATAAATTATCATTAAGAGCCCATCACTTTCGCTGCTGACAGTGTATCACTCGCATCTCGATATCTGTGTCACCAATATTCATGATGGCCATGTCAAAATTGGTTGTAGCGCTTGGGCTCTTCGTGAGTGCCAGTGCACTACAGATGATGAAACTAAAAGACTTGGATAGTCTAGAAACTCCGATCGGCAAAGCCTGTGAGAAGGTATTGACAGCCGAAGTCGATTGCGACGAGTACATTAGGGAATTAACCGACCCAAATTTATTTCATGGCGAAACAGACGAAGATATGGAGATGGCCCCAACGATCTGCAACAAACAATGCTCCGACTCGTTCCAATCGTGGTATCAGAAGCTCAACAAGGAGTGTGCCGAGGAGGATTTCCTGTCTGAACTCTACCCACCCAACTATTTCCTATTCGGTGGAAATGTCACGTCGAGTGGCTGGAATCAGACATGTGCCAAGGATCCGAAAACGGGTCGATACTGTGGCGGTTTGTGATCTTCTTCTCAAAGACGACTATTTAACTGACCGACCTTCTCTAGAAATCTTGGACGAATTCCCCGAACTTGGAGTTGATGAGGAAATGCCCCTCGAGGAGCTCTGCCATCCCTGTTACGTCAAGCTAATTGATATGAGGTCAAATTCCTGGGCATGGCCAGCGCCGACCGACCCAGCAGGCGACTATTGGAACAAGCAGCTCAAGCTTGTCAAAGAGAAGTGCAACGCCTCGGGAGGGCTGAAGGAAGAGTCCTCGTCTAAGGAGGAAACGACCTCGGTTACTCCTCACAAGACGGGCAGCGCGGATGGGTCAAGTGTGAGCACTATGCCGACAGCAAGTACGTCTTCCACAGAGACTGCGGTGCCAGGAAGTGCCACTCAAGAGAGTAGCGCAGGGGGTGATAGGGCAAGCAAGCATATTTGCTGTTACTGGTACACACTGCTTATGCTGGGCATGAGTGTGATTATGTTTTAAGCTCCAGTGAATCATTTTGGGTCATTGCGAATTAGTCAAATCTTCTTTCTTCGTTCTGGGTATATGTTTCAATTCTTCAGTCCAACATATTGTATGATGGGGCGTCATGTATGTCTTGCTCGCTTTGCGTTCACGAATGGCCAGCCTCAAATCTCTTTTCCTGGCCACGTCTGGTCAATTATCCGGCCTGAGAAGTCAGTTGTCCTTCCCATCCGTGCACTTGCACGATATGGTTGTATTTTTGCCGCACACACAGTTTCAAAAAAAAAAGTTGTAACTCGGCCTTTTAACTCAATTCTTCACAAATTTCTCAGAGTTGTCTCGTACTGCTCTAAGCAGATATGTCTGAGACCTATTAAGAAATGGATGCGTTTCGTGTGGATCAGGGCCTTGTCTGACCGTATCCAAACCAACAGCTTAACTTCTACCAAATACACTATTCAGCCCCCATCATGACCCAATCTCCTCGCCACTATCCATCTTCTTCATTCCCTCAAGTTCCCTGAGCACTCTCAAGTTGGAACTTGTAACCTGGAATGTCCACCACAACTGCAATAACAGAGACCTACACGAAATACTTCTATTTCGGACACTCCGCTCCATATTTGTCTTGATGGCCTCGATCCTTTGGGATCCAGCAGATGTGTTGCAGATCTCCGATCATCGAAGATGCATTGGCATTACCACAAGAGAGACCCGGTGTACGCTCTCTATAAAGGAACCACGACTTTCGGCAATTGGTGCATTGCTCAAACGGATGTCGCAAAGATCTCCTGAATTCACCACGAGACAAAGTCTTCATCAACTCGCAGATCTATGCCTCTGTCGCTCCTATCATTCAGATCAAGTGCAAGAATTTGTTAGCCTATGGACAACCGTGATAAAGGAGGCAGTATCCGTGAAGCGTGAAAAGAAGGCGAGGGGAATGGACGAATTTGAGTGGCTCGAACAGTTATTCGAATTGAAGCCGATTATTTCTGAGTTGCAGGACAGTCTTGATGCCGCAAGGCAAGAAAATGACCAACTACAGAAGCAGCACCAACGAGATGTCAAAAGGTTACGAGGCAAGATCAAACATCTGGAACAACAACTTCAAGAAAGCAAAGATCATGAAAATGTGGCCGAGCAGAAGTCTCTGGACTTGGATTTCAACATTGAGCATTTCTTCCGACCCGAAATCATTCATCTGGAACAAAAGCTCAAAGAAAGCCAAGATCGAAACAACATTACGGAAGGAAGATTATCAGCCACAAGAACAAAGTTTGAAGAGCTTCAGACCCAGACAACCAGTGACTGGATCGCTCGAAACAGACTCGAAATAGAGAACAAATGTCTGAAAGCTCAATTGACCAAAGCGCAAAAGAAACTAGATGAGCATACATTCATTAAGGACAAGAACCAGGACTTTCAGGATCAGATCAGAAGCTTTGAAATCAAAGTTAAGCAATACAAAGTCATGTTAGAGGATACAAAAAGGAAAGCTAGTGAGAATGAAGAAAAAGCCGCGGCTGAACGTGGTGCGACAGAGGCAATGGAGAGTCGCCTCAAGGCTCAGCTTACCGAACGAGAGGATGAGATTGTAAGGTTCAAGAATCATCAGGAGGAGTTGGAACAAATTATTACTGAGACACAAGCTAGTATCGACACTTGTTGGTGGCATAGACTTTGGACTTGGAAGGAACGCTTTTGGAAGAGGAGTAAATCAGGATCTTGGATAAGAATCGGCGATGGAACAAATGTAGATATTGGTCTTCAGACATATGCTTAAGGACGTATAATAGAGAAGTGTTTGACAATCATCTCTGATGACCTCGGGCCTTTGACTGGTCTAGAAAAATGGCCTTGCATAGTGATGCGCTGAACATTCACAAGCTGGCATATCGGTGTAGCCACGGACGAGGAACAATATTTACCGCCAATGACTGGAAGCACAAACCTTCTTCAATTTCCTCCTCATCATGATCCGGGGAATCCGCAACTATAAAATAGACTTAAATGACACCCTCACTTCTATTGGGGCGCCTTGCAACATCTCCACCCCCAATTCGAAAACGGACCTTGAACTCCCGAGGTTTTGCTGGAGAATAAGCATTGCGGGACGGGCCTCCGGTGACACGATTGGACCGCATCGACATCCCGGTCATCGATCGGCGACCCCAGATCCCAGTTCCCGGTCACGCTCGGCGAGCCATCCGGAATGAGAAGTCAGCTGTTCTTGAAATCAATGCACTTGGACGATATGGGAAGGTTCCCCAGGATTTTACGAACGTCCGATGGTATACGCGGATAACTGGTAGTACGGCAATGAGAGTTTTATAAGCGACGCTTGTATAAAGGTTTCATCGAAGCCCATTGATCTTGAAAAGCAGCTGGGTCAATTCATTCAGTCGCAATCATGGTTTCTTGGAATAACATCTTCACCTTGGCCCTTGGGCTCATTGGCTCAGCTCGTGCCTATACCAACCCCATCAGAAACCCAGGTGGTGGTGATCCCCAGATTACCTACACCGGAGGATACTACTACCTCATCTCGACAGAGTGGACAAACCTCCAGCTATCCCGAGCTACCACTATCGAGGGTCTCAAGACTGCTACTCCCAAGGTCATCTACACAGACTCTGACCCTTCGCGCTCATCCAACGTCTGGGCTCCGGAGCTTCACTATCTCGGCGGAAAGTGGTACATCTACTATACTGCCGGAAAGTCCGAAGATCTCACTGGCCAGCGGTCACATGTTATCAAGGGTAAGTCTTTCCTGTTCTTCGAATAGTATGAAGCTAACAGAAGTAGGTGGTGCTAGTCCCTGGGATAGTTGGTCCTATGGAGCCAAGCTCTCTGATGACTGGGGCATTGACGGCACCATCCTTCGCACCAACCAATTCGGCAACTACTTCGTCTACTCTTGTATGACCGGCGTGCAATACCAGTCAACATGCATCCGTAAACTGGGCTCCGACTTCTTGTCCGTCGGTGCCCTAAGCATCATCTCCCAACCCGACCAAAGCTGGGAAAAGAGCGGAACTCCCGTGCAAGAGGGACCCAACGCCTTGTACTTCGGCGGAAAGACCTATATCTCCTACTCAGCCAACTACTGCTGGACTCCAGACTACTGCGTCGCTCTGCTCGAATGGGATGGAAAGACTGATCCTGCCAAGGCCTCAGCATGGAAGAAGTCCAATGGTTGTGTTCTCAAGAGCGCGAATGGAAGTTATGGAACTGGACATAACAGTTTCTTCCAGAGCCCTGATGGAAAGCAGACTTTCATCACCTTCCATGCTACTTCCAACAAGAATGGTGCATGCGACGATACCAGATATGCTATGACGCAGCCGCTGACTGCCAATGCTGATGGAACACCGAACTTTGGGTCTGTTCAGCCTTTCTCTCACCAATTTGCTGAGCCTTCTAGATAAGTGTATTTGGCGAAAACCTGTTTCTATCTGTTCTGCACTTCTCAATCCGGACTGCGGCATAGCTGTCGCGCGGTCGAGCTTGAGGTCCTAGCCAGGCAATCCCCAATAAATGAATCCAAAAATTACTATTTTCATTCTAAATACGTGTGACGATGCTAAATAAGCGATGACGCGTCTTGATCAGTGTCTCAGTAGTCATGCGAAGGGCGAGCTCCATTTGACATCGGGGGAATAGAATCTGCCTAGCCTGCAAGGCGCCCTAGTCCAGCAATTATGCTTAAATAGCCACGGCGCCAGAGCATGCTGACGCCAGTGAGACATGGCAAGCGGCTGAGTTCATTGAGGGTAAACATACCTTGAACCAACATCCGTTTAAAAACGGACGTAGCACAACAAGGCATCAGTGACAGTTTCCGTCGTCCTTTTTCGACGTGGCTTGAGCTGAAAGCAATAGCGCGAAGCTTACTGGTGTTTAACTATGATCTTCCAATCAGCAATGGCTGGCTGGCTGGGGCTGAGCATGAATACAGTCTAGACTCCAGCTTTTACTGCCTCTGTGGCGTTTCTGTCAGAGCAGCATGATTTAATAATAGCGCTCTGCCCGCATCAGGTCCTTGTGTCTTTCTCATCTGACTTCTAATTTCTTCTGCATAATTCAGTGCGCTTCATCCATTGCACTCAAGATGGATGTGAATTACACCGCTATCACGGACTATTACATGATCAGGTGTTTCAGTGGAGGAAACTTCTACGTCTGCAAGAAACCCTCGACTAACTTAGAGTTTGTTGGATGCTGCAACTCGGATCCATGTGCCGACGGGTCTGGAATCTGCCCGCAAACAGACCTACGACCAATGAGCTACAGCCCAGGGCGAACAGCATACAAACTCGGTCTTGAATGCGGCGCTCTTCATAATGCATCTTTTTATCGATGCGATTTGTCAATGCCGCATTTCTTGGGATGCTGTGGTGTTGATCCTTGCGCGAGAGGCTGTCCCCAGAACCAGTTAATCCCGGCGCAATTACCAGCGCTAGAAGGATGGCGAAAATTATTTCTCGAGCCATATCGTGTGCAGAATAATACAGCTTCGGATTTGAGGCCTGGGGTAGAAGTGAATAGCACTTTTGAGGCACCTGACTTTTCCAATATTAATTGGGATCTCGGTAAGCATGAAGTTGGACCTGCGACTGTTATAGGAATCTGTGCGGGGTTTCTTGCCGCAAGTCTGCTCGTTCTGGGACTTATACGACACTATTGGTATAGGCAATCGCTTGATATAAGGTGAAATTCATGCTGATAATTGTTCAGGCCTTCTTCAACTTCACCAAAACATGAACAAACAGATATTGCACATGCCCCGTTTCTGGCCCACGACTCAAGTGACGATGTCGCGTATTCGCAGATGGAAGAGACGATACCGCATACCAGAATACGTGACAACTGGCATGGCGGCCCAAAAACGTTAGAGCATTGGGACGCGCCAACGGTGTTTGGTTGGATCTTCAGCGTTCTTCTCACATTCACACCCCTCTGCTTCATTGGTAAGACATATCCCTGGATCTGAAGGGATAAACTAACCAGGAAAAGCCCTCGCTATCACGGCGATCCGTCTTGATAACCAACCTCATTCCGACTACGGCAAAAAGGTCTTGCAGCTAACGGTACTCAGTCCATCGTTGTACCCCATCTTATTTGCCGCCTTAGTCGGGAGGTTCTACCGGGTATTCGGCCGATGGTGCCTTGAAAGCCGCGGCGGTGTAAACCTCCCTGTTCTAGAACAGTTGATCGGCAGCCAGAACTTGGCTACTGCCATTGAGCGAATTTTCGTAATACGAACAAATGCCGTTATTGGCATTATAATCCTCACCTCCTGGCTTCTGTCGCCTCTGGGTGGACAGAGCTCGTCAAGACTTCTACAAGACGCAAAGTTCGACTTGGTATCGAATGGAACGGTTTACTACGCTGATCCAGCATATCAAGTGTCCCAATCGAGATGGATCGACTACCGACATAGCGTTGGCGCAACATACGCTGCGAGTTTGCTGTCGTCTTCGAAGCAGAAAGCATCGCCGAGGGATATCTGGGGGTTGCCGAAAATTCCCCAGTTGTCGCACGATAGACTTGACAATGGCTCATACGATCTCTACGATGTGAACAAATCGGACTTTGTCTCAGGTAAGGCCTCTTATGCTTCGTTGCTGGGTATAAAGATTCAAGGCCTCGTCAGGCCCAACGAGCCTACCAAGTTCAACTTTACAATACCAACCTCATATTTCCACGTCGATTGCGATTTCGTCGACAGTTTCGACCCGTTACGAGGAAAGTTGACGAAGAATCAAACGAACATCGTCGATTTGTTCTACAAATTCCCCAGTTTCTCCGCCTTCAACATCCTGCCGCAGTCGTGGTTCAACGCAGATGGGGAAGAGGATGATATCAACTCGCCCTATCAGTTCATATACGTCAAACAAATGCGCGGCTCTCAACTTTACGTCGTAAAGTGTGCCACTCACGAAGTCAAGGTCGAAACAACCATTCACTGCGGACCTGGAGACCCAGCGACGACCTGCGAAGCACGACAGCAACGGCGGCTTTCTACCGAGAACCAGGCTGGAAGCTCTCTGTACCCGCCATCGGTCACGCGGAGCGATTTACGTCTCAAAGAGTTGAGTTACGCTCTGTATGCTTGGGCACAAGCTTCCGGTGACAAGGACGGAGTTCAGCCGTCGCCATCGGAGATGTATCTGATGAAAGATGAGAATCCGTATGAATTCACCAGTCAATTGCCGTGGACGAAAGAAGATCTCGCCAAGTTTCCATACGTGTTTTCCAGGCGAATGACGACTGCTTTCAATACATATTGGGACGCCGGATTGAATCCTGGAGGTCACACCAACGTCTCATACGGCACAATCCCATTACACAACATGAACGGTCTGGAGACGGGTCAGACCTACAAAGACTCCTTCATGAACACTACCATGGGTACAAGAATAACCACGATTGACGTTTATAGCGCGCAACGCATCTGGGTCGGTCTGTTGCTATTCACAACAATGGTACTGCAAATTCTTGCCATTTGCGGCCTCATTATCGAGATTCTGATCCAAGGCCCTGATGTTCTCGGTTTCGCTAGTACCCTAACCAGAGACAATCCATTTGTGCCGCTTCCGGCAGGTGGATCACATCTCGACGGACCTGAAAGAGCAAGATGTTTAAAGAATATGAGGCTCGAGCTCGTGGATGTGCGCCCTGAAGATGAAACTGGCTATTTAGCCGTGAGGGCAGTGTCATCGGCCAAAGGGCAGGATACGAGCGTGATTGAAGGGAGCGTAAAATCGAGAAAGTGGGTGCACTTGAATAGGAGGAGGCTGTACGAATAAAGGGACTAGCCTCGATAGAAAAGCTACAAGTGCCGGGGCCGAGATATGGTGACTGCAGTAAACAGGGATTGCTCAGGTCCCTGATAAACTAAACAAATTTATCCTGTCAATGCCAGAATCAGATCTCGCTGAGTCACGCCTCGAGCTTCACATAAAAGCGGTGCACATGCCCTCGACAGCGGTTCCGATAGGACACGGGTGATACCGAGCGTTATTTACGGAGAGGCACCCCCTGGACTTGACTCTAGACGGCCCTGACGGCTCCCTAGCTCGGGGGGCAAAAGGCTTGAATCACATCATGCCCCGGGCGTTGGGATGAGAAAAGGCTTAGCTGTTCACTAGTGACGCGTCTGTGAAATGCCATACGCTAAAGCCGTACGACGCATCCAATAAATCTACCGAAACAGTCCGCGGGCCCCGCCTCGGTTGCAGGGATCTGTCATTGAATCGCAGCGTGAAAGCTTCGAGACTCTGCTCCTTCAGGCCTAAGCGTTGCCGGTTTTCCCGTCTATTTGGGACCAACAGAAATACGAGAATAAATGTAATTTGACTCCCTCGTAAAAAAACACTAAAAAAGCTCGTTGGGCTGAACTTACATCTCCTTTTTTTTTATTCCCTCTCCCCTCCTCTCCTCCTCTTCCTCTCGTCTCGCCGTGTCTTTTTTTAAACATCAGGCGTTCTTCAACCAGGGCTTAAATTGGTAATCCCCTTCGTCCACCAAAAGTCAAAAGCGGAATTGTCCGAACTCTCTTTTTTTTTTAACCTCATGAAATTTGTCTATTTCCAAGCGAGGTGACACGTACGAAGAACAATCTCGCCCTCGAGATGAAGACCGCAAACCTCACACATATGGCCAAGCTGCTGCTGCCACGCGCAAGCAGGCAGAAGGGCGTCCTTCTGGCGATGGGCATTTTGGTAATCTTTGGATTGGTAACACATACTTGGGGATTCTATTTTGAACCTCCCAGCCTTCTGTCGTACCGGTACGTCGCCGCGCCAGTGGCTAAAATGTCACCCAGCATTCCAACGAAATGTCGCTAATAACAATCCGCTTGCAGAACAACACGGAGATCAAACCCGCATCAAGTGAAGCTCGCGTCGCACACGTCGAATTTAATGCATGACCTATGGAAGCCATTTCTTCTCGACATCAATGCGACAAGCTTTTATACAGATGAGGGATACGTTTATGAGGTACCCAAGGAGAACGAGAACTGGGCGAAGCCATTGGGCAAGAAGCTCCTGATTTTGGATGTTGACACTCGATTGGACAAGGGACCCGGTGCTGTGATGAATGACTCGGCGCTGGACTACAAGGAAATGAAGGGACGAACTGGTGGAATAATGAACCATTATCTCTATGGTATGATCTTCTTTTGGTGCGCGGAGAAGGATGCTCGGCTAACAGACTTCAGCGATGATTCATGGCTATGACTACAAATTTGTCCGAGCCCCCGATTATCCTAAGCGACATCAGACATGGGTCAAGGTCCCAATGATCCGAGAAGCGCTAAAGTCCCACGATTTCGTCGTTTTCCTCGACGCCGACGCAGAATTCATGTACCCCCAGGTCCCATTCGAATGGTTGATGAAGCTATGGAACATCACGGACAAGACGCTTCTTGCGCTGGCAAACGATCCCGATTCTCCACGAAACCGCGACGAAAAGGGCAAGGTCATGCAGAACACAGGCTTCATGATCGCCCAGCAGAGCAACCGAACACAAGAACTCTTCGAGGACTGGGAGCAGTGTCCAGGCGAGAAAAAATACAAGGGCTGTGCACGATGGGCAAACGACTGGGCACACGAGCAAGCCGCGTTCTCCAATTACGTACGATACAGCTATAACCAGTCCCAAGACATTGGCACGATACCATGCATGGACGGGAATGGCGCTCCGTATATTGGAGACAAGACTTGTGGCGGAGTCTTCATCCGTCACCATTGGTTCCGCAAGGATGACCCTGCAAAGGATCTCCAACGACTGATTCTCGAGGCTTTTGTCAGTCGGTTACATGCTGGATTTCACAATGAGATACGAGACAATTTCTTAGATGCGAGTCGACATACGTACCCGCTCAACCATTTAGTCTTTTAAGCGTTAGTTGCATGCATATAGATAGATTTTAATACGAGAAACGTTTTCTACAAATCACGCGATTCCTTTGAAGTGACAGACGACAAGTGCATAATCAGGGGTCATGTCACGACGATTGCGTTCTTCAGATTCAGCCCAGGAGGGCGAAGACAAGCTTTCATCTGTATGGTCGAACCGTAAAATCGTCCCTGAGTTAACGTTACCTCGTAAGGCTCGTCTCCAATAACCCCCCCTGTCACATGTTTTCCCGTAAGGGAGAAGCAGCCGCTGACATGATGAAATTAGAACCAGACGTTGGCAAATCAAAGCCTCTGACTGCAAGTTTCCACGGGCCGAAACGCCATGATTCTCCACTCAGCCGGCACTATTTCCGCTCTGAAGTGTCTGACCGTTTTGTACGACAGCCCCTTGTCCTTGTCCCTGCGTCAGATCATATTGTGGACACGCGAGGGCTGAGTTCTGTGGAGAATGTCAGCAGGTTTGTATTGGTACGGATATATGAGATTAAACAATGCCAAGTGATATTCACATGAGTTGAAGGAGTTTAAAGGATTGGAATGCTGTAATTGATTACGACGATGATTACGAGTCAAAACGGTGTCAGAAAAGGTCAGAAAAGGGTCATATTCCTCCGGAAGGAAGAAGGATGACTGCACCTCGGTTACCGGCTGGGCAACATAACCTGATCTCGGCGATTGCTGTATCTGGTTGTTTACTGCGGTTGTCGTATAGCAAAACATATGGGGTTATGTGGCTGATTACATCTAGCATTCAAAAGCAGCTTTGGTAATGATAAGAGAAGTGTACTGATATTGTGATTTGCATACAAAGTTCCAATCCCAAAATAACCCACAAACCCGAAAAAGCAGACGCGCTACCGTCTAGCGTTAAAGAATATATACAGACGAACTGAAGCACCGACAAAGACTAGCGCCCCACCGCTCTAGCTGATAACAATACGAGGACCAGACTTCGCCGGGTTCCAGTAGATGGCATCAAGATCGTAGACACCAACAAGCTCAAGCCCCTCGACAGTACCAGGCTTCTTACAATCCGTCTTCTGGGTCATGTACGGACCATAAGTAGCCTCCCAGGTCGCGAAACCGCCAACCTTGACATCCATGCGTCCCAAATGGACATTGCGCTGGTTACCAGGACCCCAGCCGGCACGAGGTCCAGGGGCGGGTGCGAGGCTGGAGTAGAGATCAAGCTTCTTGCTACCAATGACGTTCTCACCAGGAGCAAGGTAGAAAGCGAATTGGCATTTCTTGCCCCTGGCAGCTTCGGGATACTTGAATGTGAGGAGGGTTGTGATGTCGTTACCGCCGTTGGTGGGGGCCTTGGTAACGCGGCCTTCGTCTGTGTCGTAGATTGCTCCGTTGTTGATGTTGTAGGTGTGGATTTCAGCTGGGGTGAAGTAGTCGTCGCTCCTGGGTTCAACAGGAGCAGCCAGGCCAGTAGTGGCGATGGCGAGGATGGAGAAGATGGTTTGAGCAAGCATTTTGAAGATGAAGCTAGAACTGATGATGGAAGATTGGAAGAGTAGATGTGATTGTTGTTTAGATGTCTAGATTAAGAGTGTGTTTGAGATGATGAGAAGACTCGATTGATGGGGACATGTCACCTCTTCTTATACACGATGGCTTCATGCATCAATCTTCAGCTCTGCACACTTACAATACACAGCACTTCCTACTCTGCCTCGCGACAGACTCAATTAGCCTAGCAAACCCTCGAAATAGCATCCCTCGCAGTCTAGCAGCACCTAAAAGAGAATAAGCTTAATCAGGACAGCCCAGCCTCCCTGCTCAGCCTTTCCCTCCAGAAGCCTCTTCTCCCTCGAGGCGTCCATACATCGTGGCGCGATGACATTTTGGCGTGCGCCAGACCAATCAGCGTTCAGGGTGGTTTGGCGAAAGTGGCACGTGGTCCGGTCTTTGACGGAGCTTCAACTCGGAGCTGAGAGCTATGGCTTGCATTTATTGATGAATGACCTGCGCGAGTGGGGAAGAGGTTCGCCATTTTTGGAAAACCTGCGGAGAAGTCTGTTGGCTTGGCCTCAATGCCAAGCTCAGCCCTACGCCTTGGTCTCTGACAGCTCCAATGGTGTTGAAGAAATCGTCGGTATTCCGCTCAGCTGCGGAGAGAAGCTTGAAAATGTCTTGGACTCGGCTGTGAGGGTCATGAAATGTTGTGAGGTTAGGACTCGAAAAGAACTTTGGTCTTGTCGACAGCAAGAAGTGAAGCCTAAAGATAGACCAAGATACGCAAATTACCTAAATATTTTCGCCAATTTGACCGTGATCACTAATTTTCCTGTCTCCAGAAGCGCCACCTGGATGCTTTCCATGATCCTACCGAAAAGACACTCTCCTACCTAGAATTATTTTTCGTCTCTAATATTACAGTATTGTTACAACCTCCTGTCCAAGTTCCCGTCCTCGTCCGCTACCGCGACAATGGTCTGGGCCACGGGAACATAACCTCGTAAGTCGGAGCACCGACAAAGAAGCACAAGCCAAGAACCCACTCTTTTGTATACAAACGCAAAGGTCCGTTGTGTCCATCATCTAATAGACGGACTCCAAGGGACACGTGATGGTCTAGGTCATTTGCCAGGTATTCTTCATCGGGCTGGTCTTCCGACCAGAGCGACGTGAAGACATGTGTGAGATCATCCTCTTGTTGGCTAAACAGCTCTTCCGACTCATCGGGATTTCGATTGCGGATGAAAATCGCGCGGACTGTTGTAGCCTCTCCAGATGGGTCGCATAGATAGCCTAGTGTCAAGGGTTGATCTGCGTCCATGGCTCTGACAACCTCCTTCGCCATGAGCCTTCGATACCGAAGGCTGAAAGACTCATCCTCATCTACAACAAAGGCATCTTCCTCAAGGAAGTCCTCCATGTCATCCACTATCTCCGCGTCTTTGCGTCGTTTTTTTGCCTTGACAAGCTCGACTAGCTGTCTCAGCCGGGTCCGCTCGTAATCTGATAATTGCTTTTCACCTTTCTGAACTGCCTGTGATAAGCGTGGTGATGACCGCGGCGCTCGAAGAGTATCGTCTAGCTTCCAGAGATGACCTCTTGTGACTATCCCAGTTTTGGTGAAGTTGACATCAACGAAGCGACAGCTCTTGTTGAAAGTCAACCTTTTCGCACCCTTAGGAGCTCTAAAGTCGTCAAAGAAAAGGCTATTGATCTGCTCAACCATTGGCTCATGTTCTGACACAGGTGGCTCATCATTCTTGAGTATCTCGCCATTTACGAGACGAAGGGCCATTATCGCGAGGTCCAAGTTCACACCGCTGTCTTGAAGCCGCGTACTGTTGAGACGTGTCGCGTATTGGCAGCAGTTGGCAATAATCGCCAGACAATCCCAAGGCTCGGTGACGCCTCGTTTCCGAACGTCTGAAACAATCGTTCCAGACATGGAGCTTGAAAGTGACAGCAATATGGTGTACTTGCCAGCCGTCGCCAGTATGTGATCAATCATTTCATCATCCTCACTCGTCACAAAGTGATGTCGGCGAAAGCCAAGACAAAATTTCGTAGCGCTTTCTGAGAATCTAGCAGACTGGACACTCAACTCGCCGGGTACTACACCAAACATCGGTTTCTTGCCACTAAGTACCGACCGTTTTGTGTCTTCGAAATCGGCGCTGTGATGGATCAGGAGGGTCATCTTGAGACCAGCTCTGTAGTTCTCCTGGAACGTCCACGCTCTCGTCCACCATTTGTCGCGAGTGATTTCGTATATCAGGCATAGCATCTTACGAGCTTGACTATACTCTGCGCCCTTAGACAGCGCGAACCCGCCCTCGTGGTACTTGACAAGGGCACCTTTGAGTATAGAAGAGAGGGTCCTCATCTCATCCTCATCTTGAATCGGGCGGCCGAGTAGCGCGACAGGATGATCGCTCAGCGAGTAAACGCGATCCATTGCATCGAGAGCGTGTCTCTTTTGTCGGCACTCAGTATGTGTGCATGCTGACTGCTTGCATTTCTTTTGCGGGATACTATGCCGATCAATCCACAGAAGCGGCACGCCATGGCACTGCATATACTTGGTGATCCGTTCAAGCACCGAATTTCGTACTGAGGAGCGCCAAGCTTCTTGCCCATCCCTTGTCTCGATTCTGTGGCCTTCTTCCTTGGGATTCTGCGTCTCATGCTCGGAAGCGTCCCAGGTGTACGAAAGCGCAACAAAATTACTGTCTGTGAATCCATTGACAGTTTTTCTGAACCAATAAGGTGTCTCGGACTCTTCATTCTCATCTCGAGTAAGCTTTCTCTTCTTGGATTGTCGTCGGCCGAGACATTCGAGATTCTCGACGATCCATATCATCTTTTGCTGCGGGATTCTGCATTTTTGTATCTGGAGGAGTGACGAGATGATGCTCGGTTCGTCTTCAGGTGCGTGACTGCCCCGAAGGACACGTTTTGCGGCCATTCTTTGGGCCGCTGCAAGGACATTTCGGGTTTAGGGGATGCAGCAATTGGACATGGATGAGATTTCTAGTGTCAAGGATGACGACGTCAGCACCGCTAGCTCACGAGACGCGTCGCCAGCTGCCAATCACAATCCTGTCTCCCTGTATGTGGGTACATGATCAGCTTCATCCCTGTAGTAGTTGGAATGGTGTAGGGTATCTGAGGTTATTTAGGATGAACTTGGACTGCTCTTTGACCATATTATTCTCTTGCCCTGATGCAAGGATTCAGCTCTTTGACGTCTAAAAGATGCGTGTATTAGCACACTTTTGTTGATATTAATATTCTTCAAACTCGTAAGAAACAGAAATTGAGTTGTATACTGTCTTTAGATTCATCGATCATGCATCGGAAATGTTTTGCGATACACAATGCAGTCGAAAGTAAATTTGCGAATGTTTCAATTTCAATCATGTGTTTTGAACTCAAACATCTTCTACCCAAGCTCCCGGCATTGACATGTACTGTTTCTTCTCGAACTTCTTTTCCTTCCGCTTCTGCTTTCTGTCAAATCGCTTTCCGGCCACTCGCAATTCCCGATCCACCCATTCTGCTTCTTCCTCACTATAATCGTTATAATAACGAAGAGGAAGCCAAAAAGGCCACCGCTTCAGATATCTGTCAGAGCCGTCCGAAAGACTCAAGGTCTGATGTTTCTTCCAAGCTTCATGCTGCGCAATTAATGCTTGTGTCGAGCCTCCTGGGTGCATTGTGAGCGGTGTCGCAAAGTGTTCATGTTCAGTTAACAGCTCCTTAACAGGGCATTCATCCAGGATTGAAAGGGCCCAGAATGGAAATTGTCTGCCTCTCGACTCCTTGATAAATAATACGCGTCTGTAGTTCGAGAAACCAACTTTCTTGTTAATCCAATATGGCGTGTCACGCCACGTCGCGAAACAGCACTCCGTCTCGACCATGAGGTATTCCTTGATGCTGATGCCAGCTTCCTCTAAAATGTCTAACCAGAAATGCATATGTTCCAGTATCTCGTCCGTGTCCCAATTGTAGAACAAGATATCTTTCAAGGCACTGAATTCAGTGTCGGATCGAAGCTGTTGATGAATGTCAAGCCCTCTCGAGACACAGTCTGCAACAAGGCCTGCCCATCCTTCGATGTTTGTTGTTAAATCGTGCCTGAACTGTTTCATGGCGTATCTCCAGACCGCAGTATTGAAAGCCACCATGTTACTTGAGAAACGAGGCTTGCATGCTTCTACGCATATTTGCGCATTGTAGGGATCTACAATACCTCGCAGAATCATGTGAAACTCAGATGCTAAAATGGAGTCTTGCCGTATCTTGATGTATTCCAGTACGCATCTGGGTCCATCTTCGCCATTAAAAGCGTACAGATATCTTGCACCGCCAATGTGGTTTCTTAAACGTCAGCATATCCGTCCGTATCTGTCTATGGCTAACCGTACCTGCTCGATACGTCAAGGGTTTGACTTGCGAGAAACTTGAGAATTGACTGTGATTTTGTCAAAGCCGCCAGCTGCCGCAGTGTTAGAGAGAAGAACCAATGATTCCAATTGACTTACGCCCAGAAGAGAAGTTTCATTATCAGGATCATAATCATCCCAGGCAATCACTGTTGCAGGCGTCAGAATGCCTTGAGTAAAGTATGTCTTGATTTGACTCAAGTTATCATCCATAAAGGCGGACTCAACCTTCTCACCGATCTGGTGCTGGCCTTCCTGGATATAAATAACCCGTGGTATCTGCAGAGTGATACAGAACGGGGCAAAGTTGCCACGCCGTAGGGATAGTTTCACGTACAGGCTCAGCAATGAAGAGCCTATCGTGAATATAGAATCATCCTGTACTATGGATGAACTTGAGTGGAATGAAACTTCTTCTTTTGTTGTCTTTCTTGTCCATTGTACAAACGCCTTTGTGTTCCAGGCTTGTCTCCATGTAGCAACGACAGTTTCTGGGCTTTTTCGACGCGGGTGATGCTTGTCGCTTTGATCAGGGTTTCTGACAATTCTTGGTTTCTGTGCTCCTCTATCTGTTGAAGCAACTATGGTTGGTAGAGGACTCCTGCTAGCCTTATGGGACGTCATAGTCACAGCCCTGAAAGATTAGAAGGAGTTTTGCATTTTATAGGCTGGTGTACTGTACAGAATATTTGCCGTCATATGTAGCTGAAGCGAGGAAAGGCAACGATCCAGTCCATTCGTGGCATGACGGATCTGGTCTTTATGACGCAGAAACAGGGCTCCAACGGTCTTCAAAGGGTTCCGGGTATTCTTCTGCATTCTTGAGATTGTATCGAGAATGCTATGGATATCGGAGACTTTAGATAGACATTGCTGAATAATACGACTCAACTTCTTGAGCAGATTGACTTCTAGCGTGCTGAAGCTTTGTGTTCCATCCGAAAGAACAATTTCCAAAGAGCAGCAAATAGTCTCGATGTCGTCAAGCTTGTCAGCGAGACTTTCGAGCTCTTGCGACGCTGACTTGTAGGTTGCGATGTATTCCTTGACGGCCTTTGCTGTCTGCACTAGCTGCATCGCTAGGGATACAATCCCGAAGCTTAGAGAGGCAGGGTCCATGATGTGTTGGAATCGTATTAATGCGAAGGACTTGTAGAGAGGAGGATGAGTGTCAGGTCTTTGACGATCGTAGTTAGGGAAATGGGGCTGCGCAGAATGCCTTGGAGGGGCTGTGCACAGCATCGCGATCTCATTCGATGGATGTTTGCTCATTGTCAACATGTCTTGAATTGTGATTCGTCTACTCTCGGAGCCTGCATAAAAGGAGGGGTACATTTGACGATCCTGGAGACCACCTGATCCTGGAGTCTCACCAAATCATTAATTTGAGAAGCAAGAGCTGACCGTAAACAAACAAACAATCCTCCAAAATCTTCCCTTTAATCCACCCATGCTCCTGGAATTCCCTGCCGACCGTTTCGTTTACCGTGAAGCTTTTGAAACCTACGGTGCTCTCGTCGTTCAAAGCGACACTCCTGTAACTCGCAAGCCCGATCAGCCCAATCTGCTAGGTATGTTCTGTTATTCCTGTCACCATCCAGGGAGCTGTACCGATTGAGAGGAGGTATGACTGGCCAATACATCATCGAAACGTGTGATGCATCCAGATTTTTCCCACTGTTCCATTCTTTGAATACCCCTGTGCGTTCATCCCAGTAAGTCCATCGGATTTCCTTGTCCATATATCGTAGTGCGGGGAATTCTGTCAAAAGTTCGCGTATCGGGCACGAGTTATCAGCGTATTCGATCCAATATGGGATCTCTCGTCCCTTGTAATGTCCCAAGAAGAGTTTGCGGCGCACAGCCGAATCCTCAAATTTGCGGAAGCCCCGTGCCTTAGTTTCCACCCAGTAATGATGGCAAGATTTGATGGCAAGCTTCAGATATCTAGTTATGTCGACCTCAGCTAGCTCCAGCATATCGACCCAGCGGCAAACGCGATACCAAGCATCATCGGGGTCAAAGGCATACCATAGAATAAAATATATGGTTGCTGTGAACTGGCGGTGCTTGGAGATGGGGAGTAAGTCTTGGCTGCGTGCCACGATGTCTGTGAATAAGGGTGCCCAGTCCTCCAGCTGAGCATATGACATCTGACGGGCGGAAAGTTGGCTAAAACCAAAGCTCAACTCACTCAGAATGACATCATCGAAGCGGTCCCAGTCGTAAGGAAAGTAATGTCGACAAGCTTCAACATACGCAGTAATACGGCGGGCTTCATGGGTCCGGAGTAAGATGCTGAATTCTGCTGGAGTAATCAATTCTTTGCGGATATGAATGTATTCGAGAATACAGGCAAAGTCTTCCTCTGAACTAGGGTGTTGATATGGAAAGGAGAAACGAGCTGCATGGTTTCTGCCACCCTTAGCACTAAGCATTATATTGAGGTTAAATCGAATATACCTTGGCTCACTGAGATCCATTTGATCCTTTAAGAAGTTGAGAATCTTGCGCGATTGAAGCGACATCGCAAGCTAAAACAAGGTCAGCGCACCTAAGCAACTGAGTCAGAAGAAAACCTACGCCCAATAACGATGCTTCATTTTCGGGATCGTATTCGGTATACGTGACTATTGTGGCGGTCGTAAGAAGCCCTTGGCTGAGAAGATCCTGAGTCGTTTGCAAATCATCAGATTCGAATGCATTCCGGACACTTTCACCTACACCGGTGGCATCTTCGGAGATCAGGAGCACCCGTGGGATCTGCAACCGAACAGAGAAGGGTGCGAGGGACCCTCTCATTATTGATAATTCTATGTATGTGTTCAATAATGATGATCCAAAGGTGAAAGTCGTGCTTTCCTGTGTAAGGGCTAAATGCTGGACATTTGAAGCATTGAAGCCCTGGATTCTCGATTTTTGCGTCTTTTGGAGAAAAGCCAAACTTGAACATTGATGTCTCCATGTCTTGATAATATCTTTGGATTTATGTTGAGGAGACACAGAGTGGTTCGTTGCACTAACTTCTGGAAGGCCAGGGAAATGGGCTGGTCGAGGCAACGACCGAATGACGGGGATTGATGCGCTAGACGCTTGCACGATTTTCATATTCAAAACGCTGAGGTCTTATTAGCCTTTAAAATGCACACTATTTACTGAAATCTTCCACTTACAGTGAAATTAGTTTCATTTTAGAATTGAGCGTTGAGCGCGAATCGTCCAGACTACCGACACAAGTAGCAAGCTGAGATCTGTAACGTAGGAAAGAGCTGCCCATGGTTCTCAACGGGTTACGATTTGACTGGACTTTTGCATAGACTTTGGCTATGACCTGGTTGACCATTGATACTTTGTCGTAGCAGTCTTGAATGGAGCCCTTCAGCTTGTTGAGCACCGGTAGCAGTTCGGGTATCCGAGTTAAGCCATTAGCTTGTGATAAAGCCGCGCCCAGGCAGTTGCATGTAGTCTCAATGTCGTCAAGCTTCAGACATAGTTGCTCTAGTTCCTGTGCGGCTGAATTGTAGGCGGTAACCAGCCCTTTGATGGTCTTTACCATTCCCACTAGCTGCATAGAAAGGGCGGTAATCTCAAATGCCAGTGAAATAGGCTCCATGGTAGCTGAAGAAAGATGGGTGAGTTTGAGGGACGATGAAAATTCTATCGAGGGGTTATATCGAGCAATGTATGACAAGTTTCAGATTAAGAAGACAGCATTATGTGAGGTCGCACAAGGTGTCCTAGTTTGGCGTGATGATTCATCCAGTATCTACTGGCCTTTCTGAGAAAGAAATTGACTGGACTTGTGTATCGTCAGTAACCGAGGAACTGCAGCAACCCTCGACCTATTATTGGCAAGATCATAGGCTGAAGACATCGAGATATGAGCTTCTGATCAGCCGGGCGCAGGGCTTCTACGTGCGAAAAGGGCAGAGTCTCGCCGATCTTGAAGGTAATTAAGTATATGAGAAAGGCTATCTATACTTTTATAATGCCCTTCCAACCATGCCCTTCCCAGATTCTTCAGGTAGACGACCCCATAACTCATCTGTACTTGGGTTGTTTCCCGGGTAAGCAGACAAACTCTCCACGTCAACCTCTCTCAGGACATGTATACTATCATTCGTCGGAACAGTTGGTATAGGATTGGTAGCCGCAATAGTTGTGTTGGTCCTAGAATCGCCAGCGTGGATAAAGTCTCTTTTGCTCGACGTAGTTCCTTTGGTATTTCCCTTATGCATAGACGACAATGGCACGAGAGTACTCTGATTCTCGGAGTTCTTTGTCGGCCGCGATCGGGTTCCGCTGCGATTTCTCACGAACTCAATAAGTTCACTAAGAACGGCAAATTCCAGCTTGAGTTTGATCGAGTAAGTGACCAGCTTAATGCCTTGCTCCCAGACATAAAGGTCATGGAACTCTATGGCAAGAAGAGCGATATCCATGAGAATGATGACGAAGTTGATCGTGAAAAGCTTGTATAGCATGCTTTTTGTGTTGCCGAAAGCTGTCTTAAGGATCTCCATTGACTTCCAGATGTACAGACCAGAGATGATGAGTTCCTGCAGATAGAATATGGACATGGAGATCTTTTCCATGATGTTGAAGATATTGTTGAAGCCCTTTCTATTGTCGCTTGGACTATACTCTGATCCAAAGAGCAGTACAGTCATCGTCGTATGCTGGGCCATGGTGAGTTGGGAATCATGGTGTTAAAGAGCATGACTTACCCAAACGAGACCATTGATGATGATCATAATGAGAACCGCCCGTAGAATCTTGACATCTGTGACAATTAGGTGAAGTCGCGAGTACAAAACAACAGACTGGCCAGTAATGACGAGGACCCAGCCAACAGTCTCAATGATCATGCCAACATAATCGTGTGTAAGGTCGAAGTAGACAACGAGCCATCCTAGACAGTATGGAATGATTCCGAAAGATGCAATTAGAATACTCCAAAAATAAAGCCCAGATCGTCTTTTGAAGGTCAGAGAGATGAGGGTGAGTAGTTCGATCGCGTTGTAGAGTGATAACGTCGATGCAACCTTGGCAAGTGTCAGTGCGTACCACCACCGAGAGGGGCATACAAATAGAGCTTACAACAACAAACACATCTCTGCCAATGTAGACTGTTTCGTCTATGGTTGAGTAGTGAGCATCCCATTTATCACGATGGGGTAACATCATTGTGCCCAGTCGAAAGAAACTTGGGCAGTCGTGAACGTAAAATATGTTGGTAGAAGAGAATGCTTAGAACAGTAAAGGCAGCTTGGCACATAAATGAGCGCAGAATTTCAAGCTTATCCACTGTCAAAGCGTCATAACGGATTATGCCAGGGGTCCAAGGCCGAGAAGCTTGATACACTAAAGAACGGTCTCGATCGGCACACGCTACAGCTTAGTTGTAGTAGGATTGCCTTGGTATGACGCCAAAGATGTGTTATAGGCCTTTAGCATATGCCCATGAAAGTCAAAGAATATCGTGGCTTGTAGAGAGCGCATGTGACCCAATAGGTAACGCCATAGCATTCCAAGCATCCCGTGCGCCCGCTTTCACTCGGCAAAGCTGATCTCGAACTCTGATCAAAAACGCAATCACGTACCCTTTGATGGATTCTTAAGCTACTGGCAAGCTTATGTCTAATCGGCGGCTGGTAGTTAAATCTAGACCCTCACCCGTTGGGTCAGATGATGACCCGAATATTGTCTCCTGTGAGACTCAATGGCTCCAATGATCTCATAGTATCACCCTCTCGCGCCAAGAGTCGCCGGTCTTTATCCCACAAGCAAGAGCGGAATACGATGAAGATGATCAATTCCTGTCATCGAGCGTGTGTAACCCGAGCCAAAAGACTTGACAAGCTTAGTGCCATGGATGCGAGACATCCCGAATATCTAAGACAAAAGCAGCTCATTAGCTTGGCCAATTGACGAACAGGTGGCTTGCATTTAAGCTTCTGTTTATGGTTGTCATGGACGTTTTCGATCTGTACCTGCATTAAACCCAAGTGGGCTACGCAGAAAAACCTGGTCTAGAATTATCACATTATGTCTCGGCTTTGAGGGGCCTGAATAATCGGCAGGGCAAATGTCTCGAGCTCATGAAAAGCAGTCAAACTGAAGCATAAGACTTATCAAGAAATCTCGAAAGTATTAACCGTGGATCAAAATCTCAACTGAAAAGTCCTACAAAATGGCTTGTTCTAAAGTCTAAACCAGCACCATATCTGACAATAACCTTGCATTACAAACTGATCCAGCTATCCCGACGCTCAACATTCTTTCCAGTACCAATCATGTCCCTGGTCCTGACATAGCTTGTTAAACCTGTCAATGTTTTCTCCCCCCTGTGTCATGAAACAACTCCGCCCAGTTATTGCAGTAGCAATACTAATTTCCTACATGGCTGCGCATTTCGATAATGACTGCTTTACAGCGGTGGACTTTTCGGGATTCTTGCCACGTACGTGTTGGCATTGTATGAGGCAGATACCACGGGAGCAAGTAAAGCCAGAACTGAGATAAACTGCATGCCTGGGAGCGGATTGCAGTGCTTTTTTTCTCTGGAGAGTGAAACCTTATCGATAATGGTAAGATGTAAGGCGATGCTGTACAGATGTGTTTGCTTTAACGCTCCTGTGTGACTTTTCGTGATATTTATACATGGATCCTAGTGGTTCTTCTGCCATACTAGAGCAAGTTCGTGCCAGCATCCCAGGTGCTATCACAGCGGTGTTACTATCTCTATCCATAGTCAGGCTGGGTTGTGACCTGTGGGATGGGAAGGTTAAGTTCCTTCGTTTGCCCAACGTCTGCCGTCACTCTATTGCTCAATGGTTGACCCAAGATCCAAATCAGTAGCCTATGACTTGAGCTAAGATAAGAAACGCTTTCAAATTGCTGAAAGCTTATCTATTACCACGTCGTGACTGCCTCTCGCTGTCTTATGTAACAATGAACTTTGGAACGCACAATAGCAATATCGTATTATAAAATAAGTGTTAGGCCATACTGACTAAAAGGTACACCTTCTATCTTAGTGAGCTTTGCTCCGTTTCCAAATTGTTGTTCTACATCCGCAGTGCACGTCCAGTGTCATACCGAGTCCTTATCAACAGAGAAGGAAAGGAGTATCTTAATGTGTATCCTTGGGTACAACCACATAACATCATTGCGCTGTACATCATTCAAAATTATATGCTGGCCAATATTATTCCAATAGGGTCGTTATTTACAGAACGTTACAGAAACTGATTGCAGAGGTTGTTGTGGTCATAACATCATAACTCCAACCATTGTATGCGCATGGCTTTAGGTGTGATTATTCTCAGATTGCTTTGCACATGACTTGTAGAACCGGCATGAGTATCTCGTCGTGATATTTTCCAGTCGCGATTCTGGGTCTGGTCAAGTGCGCTTCCACAATTGGCGTCTCGGCTATTTCGATATCTCAGACGTTCCGCCGTCAATTATTTCCATCATGTCATTACAGTATTGCAATGTTTCTTAGTACCCTTTCCGAGACTTTACATCTATAAAATGCATTAATGACGAGGTATACTAACTAAGATGTGTGCCCTGTGCAATCGTGGTGTGCATTGCAACGTTTCCAGTATATTTGCGTCGACTGCATTGTTCTTCAAATACGTTTTCTCTCTCTCCTTCTTTAAGTCTTGTTGCGTCACGCCAAAGCAATGTTGCTTGACAGGTCAATGAATAGGGGTAGTTGTATTTGACGAAGGCAACATTTGGGGGGCACATGATCACAGGGAGAGATACCAGGTCATGTGGCTCATACACCTCCAAGATGTTTCTGAATGACGATCGTAGAGCCAAGGCATTTACACCGTCAACAGCTCGATTGTAGCCTAAGCCTACCCTCAGCCAATTGCAGAAAGTCACATCTTGGTCGAAAGCTATATGTTACGGTCCAACACACCACCTTGTCATTCGAAAGAGGTCAATGTCTCTAGATAGTCACCATATTTCTTCTCCAATCGTTAAAGTGGTACCTTTGGGCTGGTCACCCAACGTTCCATCAAGGCTTATCCATGATCCTCTGTTGGGCAGTCAGCTTCTGGCTCCTGGTCCAGCATTGTGAGGTGGTGGAACGTGCTTACTGCAACATCAAGGTCTTTTCTCACATTGCACCGATTTTCAAGATTTCGTGGCTTTCTATGTCGGCTTTCACGTCCAAGTCACTTCGAGAAGAGGTGCGCGAGCTGAAGCTTTTACTCAGCGTCTTTGGATGATTTGAGAGCTGGGCCAAGGACTCCCCGTGGGTGGATCTTGAGACGCCTCTTGCAGATTGCCCCGAGCGCGTGGCGAGTCACCAATCCTGCATCACTTCGGGCGGCTTCGTTCACCCGAAGGCTGTCCTGAACACCGCGAGAATCAGTCGGATGAGCGTTCAAAGCATATTTGTGCAATGTCTCGTACGAGATGCGACTCGGTCCCGTCCTCTTTCGCCATCTCGGGAACGGATGGTAGTAACTTCACGAAACGCGCATCATCACAAGCTTCCCGAGTGAGTCATGACAAAATCAACGCCCTCAAATCAGGTTCTAACGTTTGGCAAGAAGATCTTTCGGCTTTTCGACATCATACGACCGC